CCACTTCCACCTCTTCTTCTTCTTCCACTTCCACCTCTTCTTCTTCTTCCACTTCCACCTCTTTTTCTTCTTCCACTTCCACCTCTTCTTCTTCTTCAACTTCTACCTCTTCTTCTTCTTCCACTTCTACCTTCTCTTCTTCATCTTCCACCTCTTGTTCTTCTTCAACTTCTACCTCTTCTTCTTCTTCCACTTCTACCTCCTCTTCTTCATCTTCCACCTCTTCTTCTTCATCTTCCACCTCTTCTTCTTCTTCCTCCTCCCCCTCGGAGGACCAATATATTTTGCGCCTGTGTGCCCTTGGCACTGGCACTTTCACGCAACCCTTTGAGGGCACATTTCGAATGGACCTCAAAGGAGCGTTACTGTCATTCCTGTCATTACGATAGGAAGGCGTCTTCTCCACGTCATAATTATGCGAAGGCAGAAACCTTACAGACTTCTCTTTCTTTAATTGCTTACCACCTTTGCTTAGGTAATTAATTTTCTTTTCTCCCTTTTGATGTCCATCCCCTTCTCCACTCTTCCTACTAGGAATCAACTCTTTTAAATTTTTATTCACAATATATTTTTTTACAGGAGTGGCTTTTTTGGAAGACGGTTCTTTTTTCTTGTCTTTTAAAAAAAGATTCTTCAAAACGTTGGTTGCGTCTACGTACTTGCATTCATTTTTAAATATGAATTTTTTTATGTGGCTGGTTACGTTTTTCTCCTCATCTTTTTTTTTTTTATCAAACTTATTCATTCTTTAGGGTGTTGCGTGTGGCGGGGTTGGGGGGAAGTCACCGCAGAGGAGGGAAGACACTAAACGGAGACGCATCCGTCGCGGGAAAAACTACCAAGTGGACGAGCAGTACACTGAAGGCGTTAAATGAACTCACTGCAAGGGATCCAAACAGGTGCCCACATCAGAGTAGACTCATTACCAGTTCATGTCACTTGAAACACATTTCGCACATAACAATTCAGAATCGCGCTTTGATAAAAAAAAAAAAAAAAAGATACTAACACATAGGAAACCACGGGTTAATTGAATTAAAAGAAGCAGAATCTGGGGCGAATCGCAACGTGGCGTGTCTGTTATTCGCACCTGCCGCACAAACGTGGGCACAGACAGGTGATGGGCCCCCATTGCGCAGTGTACGCATGTACATATGCGAACTAGTAATGTAGTTATAAGGGCAAACAAGAGTATCCTTAAAAAAAAAAAAGACAAATAGCACACACGCAATGGAAGCGCGTCGCACTATTCCGACATAGACAAAGGTGTGCTCCCGTGTGCTTGGAGGGGGCTAGAAACTCTGAACGAAGTTTCCGAAAAACTACTTGATGATGGAATATAATGACTGCTTCACAAAATTTAACTTATCCTCCGCAGCGCTCGGCAGGAGCTCCTTATAGAGAAGCAAAACTTTGAAACCGAGCCTTTTAAATAGCTCATAACGTTCGGAAAAATAGGGAATAAGAGTAAGGGTCCCCTGAAAAGTGTTATTATTGCCTATACATTCTACAATTAAGGAGAAGTCCTTTACAAAAATTGGAACACTATAGTTATACATATTTAGGACCTTTATTTGGCAATTTAATTTGAATAAAATTTCACTGACTTCTTTTACTAAGGGGTAATCTAGGTGTCTATTTTTTCTTCCCAGTGAACTTTCAAATGACTGCAAAAAAGTGAACACTGAATTATCCACATATTTTTCATCCAACCATGAGCAGAACTTATTGAGAATAATTAGCTGTACCTCCTTTACAAAGTACACATAGCTTAAATAACTGGGGGTAGGGATAGACATATCTGAACGAGGCAATATCAACCAAAAGCGCAGCAAGTCATTTATAAAAGTTGTGAGGGTACAAGATAATGCTTTATCCTGGTACTCTCTTGCGACTTTTATCCTTAATAGATTCGGTATAATTTCGTAAATCACCTTTTCCTCCCCCTTTTGATTAAATGTTAACACTTTGAGTCTGCTCACCAATTTGTGAAGGTGCTCCTTTTTTAAAATTATGCTAAAAAAATGGGTGCATTTTAATATATCCGCTATTTCGTACAAACTGTAAGAATTAATGTTTCTGAAAATATGTAGACATATTAGCTTTAACTTTTCGCAGTCTCTATTTTGCATCCTCCTTAACGAAATAAGGTCGCTAAGTATTTTTCTATTACGTTCGACTTTGTGTCTTTTCTCATTGGTGTCACAATGGGTCGTAATTTCATCACATTTATGGCCCCCTTCATTATTACTCCCGTTTTTACCAGATCTTCCATCGCAGCGTCTGATTAATTCGTTGTGCGTGTAGACGCAGTGGCTTCCTTTTCTCTGGCAGAAAAATGTACTTTCTCTTTTTTCCTCCAAAGGGTCATACGTGACTGCGCCACTGGCTGGGTGGGTAGGTCCATGCTTGCTGCTATGCCCAACGCGGCTGCGCATCTTCACAGAAAAGAAACAAGTGAAAAAGGGAAAAAAGTGTGCAATGTGAAACTAAGCAAATGTACAACTGAACAGATGTACAATTGAGCTACTCAATCGACACATGCGGGAACGCCAAATGGGGGGATCGCATCCCCCAAGTGGCTGCGTTCATTTGTGAATGTATACATCTGCACCATTTCGTGCTTTAAGAAAAAAACGCTTACCACCATGCGCAAGGGTAAAAATTTACTCCGCAGAAGTAGGTTTTTACAAGCTATGTTCATCTTATCAATTTTAGGGACATTTCTTTGGGGCAAAAAAAAAAAGAAAAAACACTCCTCAGTTGACGAACCACAACTGTTCATCTGCCCTTTTGCTTTTCTAGGTTATGTAGTACAAGTAAGGGTATACATTTTCAGGCACATCAGCAAGGTCTGTGAGGTTATACGTACATTTTCCTCTTTTTTTTTCCCCATTTTTTTGGCGATTTTTACATTTTTTTATCAAAATTTTAAGAGCTCCCTTTTTCGAACCATTTTAAACAGCGGGTAGGCAAAAATATGGTTTGAGCGCCATCTCCGTTTGTGCATATATGGAAGGGGGGAGTCAGCATCGAATGGTCCGTAGCTTTGTCACGTCTCTTCGTTTTGCTTTCTTCCATTTAATTTTACTTCATTTTAATGTAATTTATTTTTTTCTTGATGCCCTTTCTTGTGCGTTTATCACAAAGCGGGTTACTAAAAATACACGGCAGAGGGGCACTTGTTACTTCCCACTTTTTAAGGAACGAAACACGCGCAAGATGAAGCCAACCCGTGCGCGAACACACAGAACATAGCAGACGAAACAAACGTAAACATCAGCACACAAATGATTACATTATGCGTTTGAATCCCACATGCTTCTTACCCTTACATGGAGAAAAACAATGAACCTTTATTTTATTACGTCCTTCTTGTTTCTCCTCCTTTGTAACGCATACTTAATTATCGGGGTGAATTTAAAAAGAAAATGCGTCTCTTTATTCTTAAGTTGTAATTTGAATAGTGCACATAAGGGCAATCACCAAAGTCCTCTGTTTTGTTACAAAAAAAGGGTAAAAGCGAAGGAACTTAGGAAGTTGTCAACTGAGGAGCTTGAGAAGGTACACACTCGCACGTCTGTTCTATTCTGACAAGTGCTACACGGGAGAGTGGCTCTTCACCTTTCCTATGCCAGCACATATGCCTAGCGCTCCTACGTCGGGCACCTCTGCATTCATAATATATTCCTCCCGAAAGAGCTTTCACATGTTCTCAGAAAAAGGTGCATACCTGAACACACCCCAAATGTGCCTTTACCCCTGCCACCACCAACACTGCTGCACCATTTTTTTGTCACTCCCCTGTAGGAAATCATCAAGTGCAGACTGGATATACAAAAGTTCCAACACCAGGGATTTCACGATATACATAACTATAACATCTATTACGAGAAGAACGCCAGACGGAAATTAGCCCAGCTGCTGACCATATACTATGAGAGGTACCTTGATAAGAACGTGAGGATAAAAAGTAACTCTTCTGAAGTAGCAGACTCCAGTTCGGTACCACCCCCCTCGGGCGACGAAGAAGGAAAGGAACCAAGTAGTCAGGAAGACGGAACCGCCAACAACAGTAGTGAAACGAAAACATGACTCTGGGGAAAGGAACCACGGGAAATATATTAACCCGTTTTATTTTCTTAAGACTTTTGTTTATATCCACGTACGTGTGAACAACTTTTTGTCGAACGTTCGCGCCTTATGAGAAGAGGCCACATTTGACGAAGCATTCTGGTAGCGTCTGTTTCTGCAGGCCTACATGAGCATGAGCTTACCCCTATATTGGGATCCACATAATGGGGGCATATATACATAATAGCGTATTTTCCCCTATGTTCAAGCACCTGTTCAACGTGAAAAAATTTCTGGCTCACTTTTTTTCCTCACTTTTATTGCCTTACCTTTTTTTGTCAATTTGATCGAAATGGATGCATTACAGATAATTCGTAATAACGTATCATTTTTGTGCATTTGTGGAGGCGTGCATTTTCGCGCATAGCATAGATGTATACGAATATATTTACCATATATGTATTTTTTTTTTTTACCCCCCCAGGGGAATGTAAAATTAATTTTTTTTTGTTTCCACCCATTTTGCCAAACGGAGTATTTTTTCCGTGTAGGAAAAAATATCTTATATATACTTGGCAGGTATTTCATCTACAAAGTGTTTTGACCCATTTCGTAAGGGAAACCTTGCAGTTTTTTTTTTTTTTTTTCAACGAGATAGCCGTTACTTCCACGCGGCTGCGAAGAATTGCTTGAAGTTCTCAACCACCTGGCAATTTTTGGCAGAACATTTCTTAGCCCACGTTTTTAGGTGTTCCCATTTCTTCGCATAAATAGTTAAAAGGAAGAAGCGGCAGGGATGGATACGCGGGCATCTACATATAATAATTTGCTCGTTTTACATAAACATCGTTTGGAACTTTCTCTGCGTCGGACGTATGATCTGTAAAAGTCTGTCCCTTTTTGTCAATTCTCATCCCCTTTAAATCATTTTCCAAATTGTAAAAAATGAAGAAGTCGCTAAAGAATATAAAATTGAAATTAAGGAACAAAAAGAGAAAGGGAAACTTCGTCTCCTTCTACGACAGAATAAAAGAAATTAATGAGAAGGAGAAGCTGCAGGCATGTAGCGTACTCGGAGGCGCGAACTACGACGACGGTTTCACTTCACAGTGGATAAGTCACGAATCGAAGGATGCCGAAGGTGAGGAAGCAATGAGAATTCCCCCGGCGCATGCATGTGTCTGGGGTTGTATATATCAGCTGTGGTATATACGTCAACATCTACACCGTATGCGCGTCACCAGTGAACGGTGAACTCTGTTCCTTCGTTTCCACCGCGGCACACGGTGAACAGCAACGGTTAAAAAGACGCGCCCCTCTTTCCCCACTAACCACAGTTGCGGTATGGTAAGTTTTGTTTACTCGTCCCACTATAGTGATTTTTTTTTTTTTACACCCCCTTTGATAGACCTAAGAAGAACGAACTTTTACGCAGCGTTACAGGTGTACCCCCAAAACTGCTTCAACAGTGACTTCAGAAAATGCTGCAGAGAACTACAGCCGTATGCGAAAAATCTAATGCTCATTTTGCTAAACAAGGACAAAATTTTTGGCACCATTTTGAAGTACATACAGAATAGCAAAATCCAAAATGACGAAAATTATTTCTACAAGTTGTTGGTGATCCTGATAAAAGATTTAAAAGATGAAAGTAAAAAATACATAGATCATATTTTAAAAATATTGTACGATAAAATTAATTTCAACAATCTGGATTTGTTGGAGGAAATATTTAATACCTACACAAATATATTTCGAATAATGAATAAAAAAATCATAAGTAACGTCGATAGGTATATAAAAATATCCCTACCACTGTTACAACATCGAAATAGTATTGTAAAAATTTTCATTGCAGATAGTTTTTCCTATCTTTTGAGGAAATTATCCCTACACGACTTAATGGAATGCTTTCAAAAGTTATTTTCCTTTTGCGATTGTGTGAAAAGGAACAAAGTGAGAGATTATTGTGATACGGTGAGCCTCCTCATGTTAGAAGCTCTAAAGGTCGACAAAGACAAACTGTCCAGAAAAACTTTACCCTTTTTGAAGTTTATAATTTATTCATTATTCCTAAAGGAGACATATTATTGTGAGGAGACACAGAGTCATTATGAGCCAATTGAGGACACACAATGTATGCACTTCCTAAAAAAAGCAGTAGCGATCTTCCTCATTGATATTTATAATTTTACGAAAAATGGGACATTTGAATTTGTGGAAGTATTTCTAACCTTCATTTTGAGAAACTATTCCATCCTGTTTAGAAGATACTACACCCATGTGTTAGTTCAGTCGGACCAAAGTACAGATGCGTTGCATTTGCTGATCAGTCAAAGGGGCCCAAACGGGGTCTCCTCAATTTTTCCCTCTTTAGCCAACGCGGAGGGGCACAGTAGCGAGATAGTAGCTACTGCGCATGATTTGCAAGATGAGGATGACGGTGGATCGGAGGCTTCTCCACCTAGCCATGCTCCAGATGGAACACTGGAGAGGAGCTCCGAACTTGGGAGCAGAAGCAGGCACAGCAACAACGACGACCAGTTTTGTGATGATCACCCACGCTTACGTAGCAACCAGGCACAATCCTCCGCGATGCAGAGGACGGCCTTTTTTGCCAAAGAAATTTTCCACAGCTGTACGAACTTTTTCCTGAAAAAAATATTAAACATATGGATAGAAAGAAACAGCGAACAGAAATGTATAATTGTAGAAACTGCTCTTCGCGAACTGAATAAATACGCGCAAGATGTGAATCGTTTGAAGTTAAATTATGTCTCCTTTTTCTATGTATGGCATATCTACGACCATATGTTCTTTTTACTAAATCCGGATATGGTTTCGAATGAAGGCATAAAAAATATGTTCATCTCCCTGGTCAAGGTGTTTATGAGCATCATGACTGCAGAGCAGTGGAATAACTTAAGTGGTCACCACCCTCTTCGAGACTCCCTCTTTCGCTGTTTCATTATCAACGTGGAAGAACTCTTAAGCAGAAAAAATAACAGCAGCGAAGATTCACACCTGAACGATGTTTTGAAGTGCATATTTGTCTACATAGCGAGAGATGTGCAAAAGGTTGACATATTTATGCGTGTGAAGGAGTGCCACATGGTGAGCGGACTGAAGGAGGGAGCTGGACCAAGTCACTTGCCCGAAAAGGAAAGCATGTCTAACAAAATTGACCCTTACAACATCTCCGACGAGGATGCTAATCTACATTTGGGAAAAATATTCCTCCTGTTTGACATTTTGAAGAGCACAACAGGAAGGGAGAGTAGGACCCTGGAGGAGAAAGACGAGGATACGGAAGCGGAGTCTAAACGCATGCACAAGAAGAAACGACAAAATGGAGACTTAGTCGCAGATGAGCAGACCGACAAATGCAGACCCAGTAGCGAGAGGAGTGCTTTCCACCATCGGACCGACAACACGCGTAAAAACAACATCATCCAGGAGGATCCCCCAACACAAATGCAAACAGAGCTTCATAATTTATTTTCCATCACCCTTGAAAAAGTAACAAACATACTTGCAATTTTGAAGCGAACTAATGAGTGTCCCAATGTGAACAGTTCAAAACACGTGAAAAACGGGGAAGAAGTTCTAAATGAACCCGAGAAAAATCTCCAAACAGTAGTGCAGTTTTTATTTGCATACGTCAGCCTACTAACAGAGATAAGTAGAATCGACGGGGATATACTACTTCTATGCGCAAAACACAGTGGTAACAAAAGCAAGGAGAACAATTTTTTTACTCTATTTGGAGAAATGTGCGACATGGTTGAAAAACTAAAAAGTAGGCATTGCATAGGAAGGAAACTTCACAAGGAAGACTCCTCTCCCGATATGAATTTTTACTTGAACAACATCATACTCGATGCAAATGTGATGATGACAATGTTGGCGAAGGAAATGCATCAAAACAGCGAAGTAATCGAAAACGTCCTTCCAAGCAACAACAAGTTCTTACTCAACTGTTTAGACAAGTGGGATAAAGACCAGGTGTATGGTGTGGAATACTTGAAGAAAATAAAAAACATAATTACCAACCTGAACGAAATGAACATTTTTGCACACAAAACGGATGACTTATATGCATATTTAAAGGCCCTTAAAAAGCTATTTCTCTTCTACGACAAGGGGAATAGGAAAGAGTTCCTGCAAAGTATCCAATTCGTAGTAGGCATATGTATAGCACTCAAAAGCGATAAAGGAAGTCATCATACTACAAATGAGAACAACATTACATCTGGGGAGAGTAATAACCCTGCTTGCTACGCCAAACTGTTGCCCCTTTTTGATTGTCTCATTTATTTAGAAAATGAAGAATACTTAGCTACGTACGAAAAGATTTATGAATCCAAAATTATTGACGTAGTAAATTATTTGACCTTTTTTAAAAGCTCCAACATTTTTAGCGATTACTTGCTCAAGGTGGCCACAGAAATATGTATTGTCGAATTGGTTTATCTGTTAAGTGCTAGCTTGGTGAGTATCCCCAAGGCAGTTACTGTTCACGTCAGAAACTTCCTACGCTCGTACAGCATAAACAAACAAATGGGCGACGAAGAGGGTTATCACCACCAGCTGGAATACTATTTTTTTGTCCTAAACGAGGTATTCAAAATGGGTAAGGAAAAGCTGTTCGCTGTGGAGTGGGAGGTGGGCAGAAAGACTGCACCAGCTGCAGATTCAGCTAGTGACAGCTGTGAGAAAGAGAACCCTGCGGATGACAATGCGAAGGATTTTGTGGAGGAGGTGGACAGGCGAGAGGATCACAGTGGGAGCGGCGCGAGCCTCCCCTGTGCCACCCCCCTGAGGAACCTCATTTGGCAGAACATAGAAGATAGCGAAATTAATATGCGACAGTATGTGCACACCCAGAAGAGAAATGCACCGCCCACATTGCCAGGAAGCAAACATCTGAATGCTGAAAATGCCCTAAAAATTGCATTCGCCACCATCAATATGGTGATCGTGCCACAAGCAAACAGCCTTAACAAATCGTACAGAGCGAAACTGCTGGACATGTACGTTTGGATAATGAGCTATATTAATGCCAATTTCAGGCGCTTCGTCCACGAGTTAAAATATTACTCTCTGTTGAATGTAGTGTTTGACATTGTTGAGAGTTTAAATGAGTTGTGTCACGGGCATGGGGGCGCTGCCCTGTCTGTCACGTCTACGCAGCCACAAGTGGACCAAATCATCCACGCCGTAAAGACTTTTGTCAGTAAATTTGCCCACAGCATGCACATTTTGAGCATCCCCAACATGATTAAATTTTTGCATATACTCTGCTCGTACAACCAGAAACTAAACAACTACAAAAACGACATCGAGGAAATGCTACTGGAGAAGAACGTCAACATCACCAAGTTCCTGCTGAACATAAAAGAGGAAGACAGCAGCAGGATTATCCCCATCTTGATAAAAATCATTTTTTGCATTTTAAAAAATAAAATGAAAAAAGGAAATAAAAAATTGAAGAAGAATATGATTTTTTACTTGTCTAACATTTCTTGCGACAATTACTGCCACATCCTTATATCTGTAGTATACCCCTTGGTGAATGTATACGAGGGCTCATTTGACTATGGCAACTTGCTCAGATACGGAGACAAGGAGAGGGTGCTGGTCAGTTTTCTCACCAATTGTCAGGGGCGCTTTGCAGCGCACTGGAGATACCAATGTGATACGCAAGCGGTGACTTCAACCATTGCTGCTGCTTCTGCAGCAGCGTGTACAGAGGCGAGTACAAACAGTGGGGAAGAAATTTCGCTCTGCTACGACGACACCTTTAATCACTCCAGTTGGCACTTCGGCAATCACATAATTGAAATAAAGAAAGACGCGCTGTTTAAAAACTTCCACTTCAACAAAAGCTTTAGTCTTTTTATCGAGATACTCAAGATCATGAAGTACAAGCTGGACAGCTACATGGAGTTTTTTTTCCATGTCTTTGTCACCATAGCGCACTACATCAATGTATACCAGATGATGAAAAAGAAGGCAAAGGGGAGGAGGATTTTCCTGGTGGTTAAGAAGATGGAGAGTCGAGACAAATGTGGAAGCGGCAAGGTGGGGGAGGCGGCCCACATAATTAGCAGCCCCGGCGAAAGTGAGTACAAGGACCAGGCGAAAGAGCACCTACAGAAGTTTGATCAAAATTTTGATCACAAATTTGATCACAAGTCTCATCAGAAGTTTTATCACTCGTGTGACGATGACCGTAACCATGACTTTGAGCGTGCCCCTCCCCGCGAATACAGCGTCGAACTGAGCGCGAAGAACTCCTATCTGAAGAACGCCAACAAGAAGTGCATCGAGAACATCCAGTTCATCATGTTAAACTACGAAATGACAAATCGCAATTTGGAGAAGGCCAAAGATTTCTTCGCCTTCTTGTTCCGAAAAAATCTGAAGAACATAGGCAAACCAAATTTGTTCCTAAAAATTCTGTTCGACATTTGGAGCAAGAATGAATCGTATCACGAGTTCTACGACAGCATCATACCTAACTCTTTATCCGTTTTAATAAAAGCTGTAAACAACCAAATAGTTGTCAGCCGATTAAGTCACAGTGAATGGAACGCACTCACGGCGAAGGTGTTCGATATCGTTTTGCGCCTATGTGGTTATGACCATTTGAGTGAAAACGATCTGAATTGGTGTAAAGGGGAACCCCCCAAAAAGGAACAGGAGCTTATTCGGGGGAGAAGCAAAAATAGGCGAGTACTACTCACCATATTGGAAAAGAGAAAATGCTCTGACGTGTCTCCTTCGAAAGGCATGAAGATATTGAAGCCGCTCATTTCGGACATTATTGTATGCATTAAGAAAACCATTTTAAGGAGGTACAAACAGTTCCTTGTAGAAAAGGAAAGCGGAACAGCACTCCGCAAAAAAAGCCGAACGGATGAGTTAAAAATTATTAGCAATAAAGAACTATACATTCTAATTGAATTATCTTCCCTGAACAAAAACCAGACGTACAATTTGCACGTCATTAATATAATTATCACCTTCGTGCTTATCAATGCCAAGTCGCTACATAGTACAAATTCTGACCACGTGCAGAAGCTGAAACTTATATTGGTATCTTTGAAGAGGTTACTCATTAATATATCAAGGGGGGAAAGTGAGCGCCCAAGGTGGGGGGCCAAAAAGAAACCAAATTGCAACTTGTCTTGCTATCAGGAAGCGGCCAGGAACGCCACGTCCCCCAGATGTGCAGATATGTCCCATATAGGCAATGTACAAGAAAAAAAACGTGCGAGAAAAAGAAGCGTACACTCATCTCATGTGCACTCCTACCACCATGCTCAAAAATTGTATGTATGTTTCAAACTAAAAACCATGGTATACGAAATTGTCCAGAGATGCTATGACGTAAGTTGTAGAGTCCTGGCCGGGGATCTCCTAATTATGATTGGTTGCATCTTTCTAAAAATTAGAAACATAAACAGATATTTAGAAAAGTTTAAAAAAAATATGGACACCTTTTTAAAAAAAACGAACGAGCTTAATTATAACTCCAGAGTGGTCCTAAAGGAGATTGTGAAAATTCCTTTAAAAAATGACCAGGCCAAGAGGCAGAGTTATTATTACACATTCCTTCAGATTGCCCAGATATTTTGCGGCCTGAACATTTGCAATGAGAGGAGCTCCCAGCACGAATACGACGCGGATGTGCAGTTTTTAATTTTCCTCGATTTGTGCAATGTGAAAATATCCACCGTTATGAGGGGTTATGCCTTGGGAAGGGAGGGGTACCCAATGAGAAGCCGCAAGAGGGGACACGTAACGAAGGGGAAGAAGACCGAAGAGACGCAGACCGAGGAGACGAAGGCTGAGGGGACGAAGACCCTGGAGACGAAGACACCCCGCAAATTCACCTTTGATCACCTCTTTTCAAATAGCAACAGGTTGTTCCATGAAATCCTCGTGAGGCATTGCTCCTTTTTAATTTTTAACGAAGCGACTAACGAAATGGTTAGAGACAAATCCGTGCAGTTCGTTTTGTTCTTCCCCCAATTGCTTAAATGGCTACTGCAAGCGTTTGAAAGTAGCGATGAAAATGTCAGTGACCTGAGCATCGCGCGAGACGTCAAAATATGTGTCCACTTCGTAGTTAACATTATAATACCCAAAGCGCTGAACGCACTAAAAAAGAACGTCAACGATTTTACCAAAATTGCGCTGCAGATTATCCTCACAACTATAAAGCTAGTTAACCCCCACATGGACACACTCAAACGATTAGATGTTGAACCCTTCTTAAGGGAGGTTAAAAATTCTCTGGTAAAAAATTATGTACTCAATACAGACATCGATTCTTTGTTCTGCTTTATCCCCGTGAAGGCGAAGAAGAATGAGAAGACGCACCCCTCCGACCAGGAAAAAACCAACTTTAAAATGTTGGAAAGGTTGCTATTTCACGACTTACATCACAACGTAGTTGGAACGTTCCATGAGAGTAAGTCTCATCAAAAGGGGAGGAAAAATGAAGAAAATAATAAACGTATATCTATAATCCAAAATATAATAGACCTTAAATCAGAAAACAACGCCAAAGGTGTGGAAAAATTAGTCGCCATTACCCCCCTATTGTGTTACTACACGATTTCTAAGATTGTAGTTCCACTTGCACTGAATTACATCCTCCAAACGAATTCAAAAAAAGAAACATACAACAAAACTCTCAGTGTAAATAGCATTAAGCTGCTTGGCACCTGCACCGAGAGGGTGGGCATCAAAGTTGTTTATAACCTACTGGAGCTGCTTCTTTCAGAGCTCAAGAAAAACTCATTTAATAAGGTATACATCGAAAAAGCAGTAAGTCACATTGTGAGGACGTACGATTTTAGGGAGTTCCAGGGCATTCAAGTGGAGCAGAATTGGGCCCGTCCAGGAGGAGCAGCCTCGGATGGATTTCGAAACGCGGACGAGGTAAACCGCGCTGCGGAGCAAAGTGAAAGGATCGAACTGACAGGAGTCAAAGGGATAGAAACTGCAGTGAAGGAGCAGCCTGTGAAAAGCGCACCAGGGGTGGACTCATCTGTGAACATCGCGCCAGAGGAGAACGCACCGGTGAAGAGCGCAGCAGGGGAGAACGCACCTGTGGAGGCCGAACCGACGCGGAAGAGCAGTCCCAGCCCGCTCTGCTACAAGTTCCTCCGGCGCATCCTTCCGCAGCTAAAGCTGCTAATGTTCGACAAATTCGGGACTAATGACAAAAAAAAACAAAAGTGCTACATAAACGACCAAGTCGTTGACTACAAAAACAAGGAGGCAGTGGCCAAGGCCGACCTCGTCATATCATTTTTAGTAATTCTAAACAAAATGAATTACAATTTTGAGAAAGAGTTACACAAAATAATATACAGATTATGTTTCTGTTTGTCGTCCAAAAATAACAATGTAAGAAGTGAATCGAAGAAGACCATGTGTTTTATTTCCATGTACCTCGGTTTGAGGTACTTCGATTTGATCATAAAGCAGATGTCAGATTACCTGACCAAGGGGTATCACGTGCCGATATTTTTGTGCACGGTTAACTCCATCCTGGAGTCTGTGCTAAAAAAGAAGGACAAATTTTTAGACAAGAATTACTTAACCATCGGCATCAACGCGTTGAACGATGGGAATATCAGCAGATCCAAGAGGAAGGACTCCGAGCGGTTCAGCGGGAGTAGCGCCACTCCGCATAGCGGCGGAGGCAGGAAGGCCCCTATCGCGGTTTCACCACATCTCACGAACACCCCGCACGACGCCTTCTGCACCAACATCTTTAACATGATCAAGCTAGAAATAATAAAAGAAATTGACAAAAATACTGAAGATGTTAACAAGAAGCATATAAAAAGAAAGACCAAGGAAAGCAAAAAGATCTATGGAAAGAATATCATTAAGCTGTTAACAAATATAGTACCCGAAAAATGCATCGAAAATAATATCCTCATATTTTTAGAAAGCTTATTTAGTGGGGAGTCTTTCGAAAATAACCAAGTGGATAAAAATTTTATTTTTAAAAAAAAATACATCTTTATCGTGTCATCATACTTCAACAATTTCGTAAAAGGAATAGAAGAGAACAAAAGTCTCTCCCCCCATTTTGTCCTAAACATTATTTACAAGCTGTTAACAAAATCGGTGTATTTTTTCAGAGGTGATGATTATCAAAATTTACTCAGTGTTATGCAGAATTCCGCCATTCTACTTTTTAAATATAATGTCTCTGACCAAGCAGTGCAAACCTTTGGAAGCTTCAAAAAGGGTATCCAATTCTATGTGCCCCAGGAAGCAATCGAGGAGAGGTACCTGGGACTTAATTATCAGCAGAAATGTGTACATTACCCTTCCAAAGGGAATAACAATATGCATATAATACAGGGGTTATTTCAGGAGAAAAGCATTTATGACGCTATTGGAAAGACGAAGAAATTTGATTTCCAGATCCTCGCACAGGTGTTAGCTAGGGGTGCCCTCAAGTTGTTAGTTTACGTGGTTAAGCGCTCATCAGAGTTGTTCACGGAGGACAGAAGATTAAAAAGTAATGGAGATGGTCTCATAACCGATGCTAATGACAACTTTTATGTTACTCTCCACAGTGAGAGGAGGTACCCTGGCGGAGCGATCAAAGAAACGTCAACTTGCTACTCCGCGTCCACTACCGTGGATGATAAATCCCTTAGCGAAAATGAAAACGCTCAGAAGGGGCTATTCACCTCTATCGATAATGAAAATGGAAGTGCCACCGAAGCAGTGCTCACCTCCGTGGGGAACAGAACTGGTAACAAAGGGGTAAACCATAATCATGAGGGGGAGGGCTCCTTTTCAAGCTTCCCCGAATTTATAGACCTAATTGAACCGCTGCTCGTGTATTTCTTTTGCTACGGAAAGGAAGACGTATTTGTGTTAGCCTCCAAGTGCATCAAAATTATTAAAAAGAAGAAATTTAGCGATTTTAAAAAGTTTGGAAAATTAATTATTCTCTCATCCATAGATATACTAAAAAATATCCCCAATTATTACAGCAAAGAATTTGACAAGCTCATTCTTTCATGCATTGACACGTTGACATATCTCATACGGGGCAACAACAAAAATGATATTATATCTTGGCTGAATTCGGATCTATCCAGTCGCGGAAAACCTAGTGATACTGTTGATGAGCCCATAAATGACGACACCGTTTCGAAGAAAAAGAGAAGACTGGAAGAGGGAGCAAACAGAAGGAATCCCCATGATCCGCTTGAAAACACAGCCAAGCTGAAGAAACAAAAGAAGCTGAATTATTTGCTGGACGAAAAGGTCTTATCTGTGTATTATCCCCCCCTGGAGGGGGGAGAACATTTACAGGAAGAACAAGAAGAATCGACGAACTCTCTACGATACTGCCTAATTAACCAGATTTCGCTGCTACTAGAAAGTAAGAATCACGTGTGGGAGCTGCTAATATTATTTAAAAACTGTATGATGCGGGAAGACATAAATAACATCATCAGGAAGGGGTCTATTATCTTAAAAATGAACAGCTGCATTGATCAAATCTTCACCATCATGATAGAAGAGTCTCATAACCTGAAATTATCATTTCTGTGTGGACAGATTTATGTCGATTTTTTGATGCGCTTTCCAATATCAAAGAAGGAAAAGAAAAAGAAATTTTTCAAAATTTTAAATAATTTAAATGATGAAAATGACGACTCCAGGATTGCCACTTTGAATGCTCTCTACGTCTTTCTCAACAGAGCTAACGCCAAGTTATTAAAGGAGGAATTTTATTACGTCACCTTTGCCAGCATCATAGTTCATTTTACTAATGAGACAAATTACAAGTGCAAGAAGATGTACATTTTTTTGACCACATTACTCCTCCAACAAGTGAACGATTTGACCTATGTTTTTAATTCGTATAAAATTTTAAAGCGCAACTTATTCTTTTGCGAAAAGGCATCTATCACGTATACCTACTTGTATTTGCTTCCTATTTTCTCTTCCATTTTTTCCGAGCGGATTGTTTCCTTCGGGCAGATGATTCAGATTGATGATAAGCTAGCGAAGGATGAGCGTAGTTTGGTATCGAAGGAGCACCAAAAAGACAGGCGCCACAAAATATTCCAGCTAACGTTGCAGGGGAGCGATGTGTCGACGGAAAATCACAGAAACGGCCAATCTAGTGCACGTCGCCAAGATGCACTTAGTGTGGATAACTCCTCCCCTGAGGAGCACACCCCAAGCCAGAGGCACAATACCATTAGAAACTACTTCATAAAAGAACTATTAAAAAGCACAAAAAAGTACAATACTAAGAACACCCCAAATATAAGCAGCAGTTTAGTTTTTGCCCCTCCCAGTGAAATCATCCTTTTTATGAAAAGCCAACTAGAAGATCTGTTCCTATCGGCCATGTTTTTTCTAATCGATAGGACGTGCGCTGATGTGAAGGCGTTCATGAAGGAGGACAAGCTGTCTCTTCAAGTAGTAACCTCCGCGCAAAACATTACCCATTTTAGTAGCAACTATGAGATATACGCACAGATGGACAAGGATTTAGTGTACCTCTTTTACAAGGCACTAGAGCAGATTTTTACCCATATGGACATAGACTTGATAGAAAATTTGGTGCATGAAAAACACGCCCACAAAATGTACAGGCGCTACTTTTTAAAGGAGGACCGACTAGAGTATCCCAACTTAGGGGGTACAGCGAACAGGGAAGAAGAAGCAAACGGAACAACCGATGGGGAAGGAGCAAACGGAACAGCCGACGGGGAAGAACCAAACGCAACAGGCAACGAAGACAGCATCCATGAGAAATTAATTTTGTACTTTCTGTACTTCTGGAATTTTATCATTCAAAATGGACTGTTCAATAAAGATCCCTATGTGCAAATCATATCGTTGAAGATGATGCTAAATTATATAATTAACAAAATGGCACGTCCTTTTTTTCCTCTCCTACTGGTCAAGTTGTTTTCTTCCGATAAATTTATTATCAATCTGATTTTAAAAAAAGTTCTTTCTCTCCTCTTAAATTCATATTTTCTCGAACATTTCTATATATACCATAGGGAAATTAGTGTTTTCCTGTCCAAGATTTGCGTGCTATTGGTTAACTTCCCGTGGATTACCAACGGGTTTGATGACCAAAGTGGTAGCAAAGGAGTAGCGCGTGAGAGGTACTATGCGGAAAATCGCGGCGAAGTGAAAGGGTTGTGTGTTTCATCCTGTGCTAAAGACACCGACCATTCACATGTCACCGGTGCTCCAAATGGCCTTGCCCAGGAGACTTTCACAGGAGGAAGCCAAATGGACAACCATTTTAGCGGCGCAAGTGATGTCGAAGGAGACGAAGAATTCAAAAAAGTGAACAGAATTTTGGAGAAGGAGCAGAATGAGCAAGATAAAAATACTTCTTATGATCGGGTTGGAACCTTAATGATGCCAAATTTGAAAATGACCAAGGAAATGCTGTCCTACAGCAAATTTTTCCTTGTCATCGTTACCCTCTCACGTTCCATAAACATCCATTTGATAAACAAGAAAAAATCTTTTGTCAGAATTCTAACAATTTTAAATACGTACAGAAATATAATTCAGGATTTCCCCCCAGATCTCTGGGCCCTCGAGAATGAGATAATTAATATCGTCCTCCCCTCCCTATACAAAGTAGCTTCCATATTTAAAAAGAAGTAAGTTTTGCCGCGCGCACAGTGTGTGTGCATCTAGTACGCATTATCTGCACGTTACTTTACCATTGGTGTGCCCCACTTCCTGCGTCAACAACATGTTTATAAATTAATTGTGGCCACTCGAGTGATGCTCCAGTATTTTTATATACTATTCAAAAGTACCATTTTTTTGGTTTCCATCCCCCCCCCCCTTTTTTTTTTTTTTTTTGCAGATACTTTGTCGAGGATGAAAACATTTTCGAAGAAGTGAACACGTACAATAAGCTCCTTTACCTATCGAGCTACGCGTGGGACATTATTTCTCTTCTGGAGGAAAAACTACAAAACGATAGGGCCACTTTTAATAAGGCCTTCATTCAAGCGAGACAGGTACATTTAAAAAGAAGAAAAATTGTGCTTTTTTTTTTTTTTTTTTTTCTATACGCATTATATGTAACAATTTTATGCTTCACCCAAGGCGAAAGTCTGCAGAATTTATCGGATGCGCACAGTACATGCATTTACATATGTGTGCCCACTTTTTTTTTCTTTTTTTTACACCCCCCTGCAGAGGATCAACCGAATTAGGTTTATCAAAAAAAAAAAGAAGAATTTGTTAGCCTTGAAAAATCCAAAGTTGTTTACCCTTAATAAGTCAAAAAGGAGGGAGAAAAAAAAATGGAAAAGAAGAAAATGAACCTTTAGAACAAGTCTACATTGGGAAGGAGGTTTCTCCACAGGGCCTCCCCCGACGCAAGTGTGTACATATGTAAATCAGTTTTTTTTTACGCCATCACAAATGTATACCTGCATAGCTGCTTCCTTCATTTTAACAGTAAAAACACTCATTTTCCCAACTAGAACAAAATTAAAATGAAAAAGTGAAGGGGGGGACCCCCCGATGACGCTTTCGCAATTTCAAACTTACTCACATTTGGAGGTCACGAAACGAAATGGGGCAGATTGTCTACACATCTACCCATTTGCACATCTGCCCATTTGCACGTGTACAAGTGCACTACTCGAATAAGCTTTCCTCTAGAGGGGTCTTCAAAAAAAATGCTCATGATAAAAGTTGAGTTAAAAAAAAAAGGTTGCATTTAATTGAGCCCAAATTATCGCTCACATGTATGAAAAAAAGGATAAGTCAAAGAATTAACATGGGTTGCAAGCACCCCGGAATGCACAGAATGAAAACTGCCATTTGTTGTTGTGTCTTATTTATGTATACTTCTACCTGATCCTTTTGAGAGAAAAAAAAAAGAAAAGAAAGAAAAAAAAAGTACAATTGGTCAGATCGTCTATCAAAATAATCATGCGTATTACACATCCATAAGGGCAAAAAATAACGTCTCACGAGAACTTCCGTTCTGTTCTTTGTTTACCTTTTGAGAATGTAGAAAATATATACCTGCTACAGTCTGTCCATGATTACATGTCAAAATGTTAGGTTCATTTTTCTTTTCTTCGTTCTTCCTTTCATTCTTTCTGTTTTTCTTTTTAAATTTTGTTATTATATTTTTATATTTTTTTTACCATCTGTATTTATCAAAGAAAAAATAAACAGCACATTTGTGCATTTCTATGGATCCCACCCCATGTCGTGCGAGGGTGGAATCCTGGGGGGTTGAGTAAACTCCTTATAATGTTACACGTTATTTAGTTTTATGGGGAAGTACAGCCCAATTTTTTTTTTTTCCCTTTTTTTTTCCTTCTCTTGGCGAATTTTTATTGCTTATAAATTTTCAAATTGTGTACTCTTACAAATGGTGGAAGTAAAGAGGCTCCATCCTAGCGTTTCGCTAAGGATGGTAATTTTTTTTTTTTTTTTTTCCATTTTGTTTTTTGTCTTCACCCGGGATACTACTACAGAAAGGGTGCAACAACTGTGTGGAAGGTCTACTTACAGTATTAACGTCGCTTTCTTCGTGGCAGATAGTTCGACCAGGTGTTGTTCAAGTTGCTTTCTGCCTTTTTCACCAGGTAGAGAAATATTAAGCGCTTCAAATTTTTGCCACCATGATGAATTTATTATCAGGGAAATTTGTCGCCTTGTGGGGCACCTTACCGGTGATCAATGGTAAGAGCCTTCATTTGCTTTGAAAACCAGGCTAACCTCGCAACCTTGCATGCAGCAAGGAGTGCATTATGTGATCATCCCCGGAAGCATTTTTTAACCAAAATAAATATACCACGAGGGAACTTATCGGTCCTGCCAATTTAGCGGGGGGCGTTTCGAAAGGGCCGCATTCACTCTCTTGCCTAGTCTCTTATCGCATCTGCTGTGATCATAGGGACAGCAAAGTTGGAGTGTCCACGGACAAATACACAAATGTGCATATATATACTCATACATGTGCGCCATTTTTTCCCCTTTTGTCAGGCGCAGCCAATCCAATCTGACGCAGCGCGGGGCGCCGACGAGGCCACACACGCGGACCGACGTGACACGCAGGGGAGGAAGTCTTCTGCAAAATAAATTAAAAGAAAAACTGCTTTCGCTTCTTTCCCTTTTGCGCACAGCGGTCGGGAAAATTGTGCAGGTACTCCAAGAAAGCATAAAATGCGTACTCTGCCGCTTCCACGACTAGGGGGCGTGGATACATACGTCGATACACATATGCGATGTGCTGATAATTCCGAACGTCTTTCCTCAAATGTAGCCCCTTCCAAAGGACGCAAATGTAATCCTTTTTTTTACAGGGATTCGTGGCAAGAGCCACGCGCAGCTTACTCATCGGAGGAAAAAAGGTCACCACGCGTGCACCTACGAGGGAGGAAAGCCAAGAAGATGAAGAAAAAAGTGAAGATGAAAATTATAATAGTAATGGTAATAGTAACCGAAACAGCAATCGCAACCGCGACAGCAGCCGCGGCAGTAGCACTAGTAGTAATATTAGAACGGCGGAGTGGCTCTTCTGCCCGCACAGGGCCAAGGAAGGGACCCCTTTAACGACATTCGGTGAGAAAAAAAGGGAAATACTACCAGGGGAATCACTCATGAGCAGGCCATTCACAATTTCGCGAAGAGAATCATATGTGAAGTCCGAGTCGGAGTCCACTTCAAAAAAACAAACACGGCGGTGTCTCGCAGAGTTTATCAACTTAGACACAAGTCCAAAAGGCGACAAAAAGGCAGATGCCGTAAGGGGGAAATACCAAGAAGGGACACCAAATGATTACCTAGTGGATAAGGAGAACCAGGAGGAGGCTACTACGAGAAATATATACAGGCAAGACCCCAGTGAAGGGTCCGGCTACGATGTGGAATCTGGGCCAAGTAAAGACATAACCACATCGTTAAAGGCGCTCTTTTTAAACAAAAAAAAAAATAAAGGAGAGAAAAATAAAAGAAACAACCTTTCGAAGAATATTGAGCACACGGCAGAATTTATTGAAGAAAACATTCCTACGGATAAGCCATCCATTCCCCATATTCTGGCTGACCAAATGTTTATAATAACGAAAAACCATAACACATCGATCGAAATTAAAGGGAATGGACTAGACAAATTTAAGTACATAACTATTTTGATATATGATACCTTTGAAAATTGTAAAGGAAATGTTGTTCAGAAGGTCTCTGTAGAAGAATTATCTCCATTTCACATATTAACAAAAAATTTTGTGATGAACAAATTGGGAATGTTTTCCATCTGCATAGAAACGGAATACCCAAAATATGTCGCATTGTTAAAAGTTCAAAACAACTTAATTAAGCAGATCACACCATCAAGTGAAGTAAGCACAATACCTGCATTTAACTGCGCCATGGGGGAATCATCCATATTCATGCCTGAAGAGAGCAATGTGGGAGTTGTAGAAAAAATTGGAGAAATTTTGTCACAAAAAAAATATTCTTATCATAAATTGGGTGATGTTTTATCTAAAGAAATAAAAATATTGGCTTGCTCTTCCATGGGAAATTATCTTGTCTTATTGGAAATGAATTATATAATCGTTGTCAATTCATACCATAAGTATGTACAGGAAATTATTACTCATTTTTTGACCAAACCGGTTGCAATATTTCTAGACAACTACACTATCTATGTCACAGACGCGGACAGAAAGAATGTTTTTAGATATATGTCGGAGTATATACTTAATGAAACCGCCGCTAAGTTGCTCTTTCTGGACGGGAGTGGGCAAGTGGAGCAAGCGAAAGGGGAAAAAGGGGTGAGAGCACCATCATCTGCGTATCACACTCCAGGAAAAACAAACGGTCGGCACACATATGCAACAGGAAAAAAAAGGGACTACCTCTCCCCCCTGGGGGGGATCTTCCTTCAAGAGAAAGAAAATGAACAAATAGACTATTTAATGAATGGGGAAAGATACCTAATAACCCATCGGCGAGATTATGACAAAATACAGCAATCCAAAGGAAACCAGGCAAAACTGAAAGGGCTGTTGTCTAAGAGTGTGACACTGGTTTACCCAGCAGGAATTGTTGTGGATCAGGAGAAGGTATACTTCGTAGACACGGCATTACATATGCTATTCTGCTTTTCCTTGAAGGAAAACAAAATTGTCGAAACGTTTGGTTATCTAAACTCTCCAGTCATGAGCGATAAGGGATTGAACAAACCTTTTTCCTTGTCCCTATTTCATGTGACTAAACAGAAAAAAAGCCTCCTCTTTTTGAGTGAACTGTCGAGTTCTAGAATCCTAATATTTGAAATAAAAAAATATATCAAACTTTACCTAACGTATGGTAATCTCCCCCTTGACATCGCCAGCTCCATTGTCGTGACGCCACAATTTTTAATCGTTTGTGGGATAAAACGGAGTAAAGAAAATTATGTGAACTATGTCACATACATAAAGATCGAAGAATTGTCCGAATTCGAAATTGAGTACAACGAATTCTCATACACCATGCATTATGGACAAATGGTGAATATGACTCCTCTTAAAAGAAGCAGAAACATAAAAAAGTTTACCCTTAGACAGTACGATAATAAAACCAATGAAGATATCGACACCGGATTGAATATAGACAAACACAGCGGAATGATAAGTGGGAAGGTAAAGATCTCCGCATGGTTCCACATGGAAATAGTGGTTTACGATTACTTCAAGAAAATGACCTTAAGTTTTCAAAACTTTATCGCTTCATGTCCCCAAGGATTCTTTTTTCAGTCCAAAAATTGTGTCCCTTGTCCCATAGGGCACTACACTTCAAAAGCGAATAGACTCAACTGCATCAGCTGTGAGAGCTACAAAAAAAATTCAACCACCTCATACACTGGATCCATTTCCAGAAACGAGTGTTTATGTAAAGCTGGGTACTACTTGAAGGAGAAAATAAAATCGTGCGTAAAATGCCCAGCAGGATACTATAAAGGTCAAATTGGAGATTTCAAATGTCAGTCGACATGTGAAAATATGAAAAGAAGTATTGTCGAAGGAGCAGCAAGCTATGAAGAATTAAACTGTGCATGCAAAGATGGGTACTATACAGATGATCAATCCAAATGTGTTCCATGCCACTTAAACTCTTATTGCATTTATAACCCAAACGTTCCTATTCACAAAGCGGATGTTATCCCTTGTAAAGAATATATGGTAACTTTAAAAAGGGGATCTACTTCCCCTAAAGATTGTATCTGCTCCGTTGGATATTACTACGAGAAAGAAACAGACACATGCAAGCCATGTTCTTATGACGCGTATAAACCAAACCAAGGCAATGAATCGTGCATACCCTTTGCAAGCAATCCAGGATCCACACAAGAATTTCTGCCCAATGAAAATTACTTTGAACATTCGAATGTGTTTTTAAAAAAAACATCAAACGTTATTATGTCCCCCAGGAAAGGGAACTCCTCTTTCCATAGTGCCAAGTTGTGCGAAACTGGATACTTCTACAGCAAAAATAAGTCCATTTGTTCCATTTGCAGATACAACGGGTACTGCAAAGGTCTGAACAATGCAGTTATTGCGTGTCCAAAAAATTCAGTCACTGTCAAGTTAAAGAGTGTTACGTCTCTAGACTGTTTATGCGAAAGGGGATATGGGCGAATAACCATTCACAAGCACAAGTCATTCAGCGTATTATGTGTCCCTTGTCCGTACAACACTTTCCAGCCTCACCACTCTTCTGGTGAATGCATTCCTTGCCCTGCTTACACGTTTACCATTTCTGCAAAGTCCACTTCCATCACGGACTGCTTGCCTCAAAATGGCTACTACAACATTTACTTTCAGTACATATACCAGCATTCGAAGGAGCGGCTCGTGCAAAATGTCCCTCATTTTTTGCAGCAGTACCATCGTTACCTGAGCGGTCAGTACAGGAAGGGCAGAGAGGCGTATGTCCCCAAAAGGCAGCCAAGAGGGGATTGCCATAGGGATCATATTTGTGGAATAGATCACCAGGACAGTCCTCTATCACTACACCATCTTACTCCAAACCTGATGGAGGGGAAAAAAAGAACCCATAGGCATCACGAGGAAAAGCAACACAACGCCCAATGCAAGTGGCGCGACAAACTAGAAGTCACAAGTGGTTACGAAACAGACCTCACTAAAGCTAGAATGCCCCAAATAAGGAACAACATACGCAACTTGAAAGGATCATACAGCAACGCGTTTTACACGAATTACCTGAAAAATGTGATTCTCATGGATAGTTCAAAAGTGGCCCGTTTTATTCAGCAGGAGGGCTCCATATTCTCGCTAGATAACTCACCAGTAGGGGAAAACAATCATGGGGCAATTCCTAAGGATCAACGTGAGCCATCTCAGGGGGGGTTTCTCCTCCCTCGTCAGGAAGACACCAAAGAGGCACCTTCAGAACGAGAAAGTATACTAATGAAAGATGGAAAAGAGCATACACCTGGAGTACTCAGCACAGAAAAAGCGGCGCCAAGAACACCCAGCGATAGCAATTTAAATTTACAGGGAACAACTCTACTATCAGAAGAGATGAAAGCGGTTGTAGGCAAATTCAACTTCATAGCACAGAAAAAAAAGGACCTACTGATCGTGATAAAGTCCAGGGAACAAACCTACATCGAGAATAAGCGAAAGGACATATCGTACGAGTGCTACGAAATGGACAGAGCAATAATTATAGAAAAAAATGTGTACGTAACTACCATCCCCGAAATTGATCTCATAAGTTGTCTTAACACATGTATCTCGAACGTATACTGCACAGGGATAGAAATGGATAGAACAATTCAGCACGGAAAGACGGACTTATTTTTCTTCCTAAACAGAAGTCATGGGACGAAAATGATCCATTTTTTCAAATGCTATTTATATTTTTACGAGGAAATTGCATCGTATTATAAAAAGGAAAGTTTGAAAAAAATCGAAGATATACAGCATTATGATGATGCGGATAGGATAACCGGCTGCGTGGTTCAAAAGAACGAAATGCTAAAATTGTGGAAGGTGTATAATTTTGATATATGTCCAAATAACTACTATTGTCCTGTAAAATCATTTAAAAAGAAAAAGTGCCCCTTAAATTCAGTTAAAAAAAACTTCCAAGGAACTATCGAAAATTGCCTATGTTCCCCGGGGTACTCTTTGCAGAACAATTTAAACCTCTGTGTACCATGTGAGAAGGGAACATACAAAGATTCTACATCGAATGGTAAGTGCACCAAGTGTCCTCACAGCTTAACCACATCTTCCGAAGCTTCTAGTTCCAAGTACGACTGCGTTTGCAGAGAAGGCTACTATTTTCACGGGCGCTTCCGCATGAAATTGGTGGACTTAAAAATGGAGCAAGCCATCATTGAACATATTAACAAAGCGAAAGAGAATAAAATTTTATCTCTACCAAGTGGGCAAAACAAAGTGCAGAATCTTTTTTTTCAAGTGAAGTCAGCTGGAAGGAGGCAAAAATTTGCCAAAATGGTGCAAGCATTTTTAGGGGAAAGTCCGCAGGGGACGACAGGAAAAAAGGGACCTCACGGGGGTGACAACACACGTGCAATTAAAGAGAACGAATTGGTGTCCACAGTCAAGGAGAGAAGCTTCACCCAAATGGGAGATACCCCGGTACATGTTTCGCATGCCCCGCATGCAGTGCAGAAACATTACAATGCACTCTCCAGTTTAGATTTTCTTTCCAACAAATTTGATGACAGCGTGGACGGTTTTCCCTACGGAACGTGCATTAAATGTCCCGATAAAATGTTTTGTCCAGGCTTCTGGTTTAAAAATTTCGAAAAGGAACTTCATCACCCTCCCATATTTTGCCCCAAGGGATCAATCGTACCTAAGACGACCTTAGAATCAACGGACGTGCACAAGTGCATATGCGGGAAAGGGTACAGCATAAATGTGCAAAGCAGGCACCACAGCAGAGGAGGCAGCGACGGAAGCAACGGAAGAAGCGACAGCGGTGGTAGCGGCGAAATGTGCGTGAAGTGTGAAGAGAGGTACTACAAAGACGTTGTGGATAATTCACCGTGCGCTGGCCTATGCATGGAATTTTCCACCTCCTTCCCAGGATCTATCAGCAAAAAACAGTGCTTTTGTGACAGGGGGAAATATATGATACATGAGTCGTCCCACGAAATGAAATGTGTGAATTGTTCCAAAGGGGCCCTATGCATTGGGGGCTTGAAATACAAGTCGCTAAAGAATTTAATCCAGGACTCGAGCTACACCGACATAGAGATTAACGACCATGTTATTCCATTCCCTCAGAAGGGGTACTTCGCCACCTTTGAAATAAAACATGAAGATTTCGCGTGGTCTCCGCTGAACTCCCTAAACCTGCAGATAAATAATTACGAAAAGGGTGATATCATAATTAAGAACAAAATTGCCAAGCAACTATTTGGCCGAAGGGTAAGCCATCTTACTGTAGAGAGGAATCACCAGAATAATCATCCAAAAAACCACAAAATGGAGGTAAACCCAGGAAAAGAAATACCACTTGGTTATCCCACCAATAAAGAAAGTATCTCACTAGTCGAAGCAGGAATAACGCACATCCTAGTTAACGAAAAATTGGAGAAGCTAAAATACAAAAATGAGGATTTAACTGTCGAGAGAATTCCAGACTTTCATTTGTGTCCAATTAGTAAAAGGTGCGTAGGGGGGGTGGACAATTTATGCGCCCACGGATCGGAAGGATACTTATGCAACAACTGCTCAAAGAACTATGACATGATTTATTTCAGATCCCAATGCTTTAAATGCAAAAAGACAAAAACGGAATTGATGGATTTATTGGCTAGGAAAATATTTTTCTATATGATAGTATTCTTTTTAATATATTTAAATTACTTCTGCTATGTAAAAAGGAACTTTGTCTTTATGGGAATATTTAAAATATGGTATTTTTTCATCATCTGTTTTCTGCCCTACATTCACGTTGTAGAGTCCAACCATAACACGCTGCCAAGCCATTTGTTCTACTTCCAGTCCTTTATCACCCTCCCTATGAGGTTTCTGACTCATTATTTGAAGCTGAACTGTTTCGTCAGCTCCTATAGCAACCAGCAGTATATACACATATGGTATATCCAGAGGTACATAAAAATCGCGGAGCCCATGATTGACTGTGCTGTGTTGACTACCCTCTTTTTAATTATCTACCTGGTGTACAATCGGCTGAAGGGGAAGCAAATTAGCACAGTAGAAACGGTCATTGCCAAGCAGATTAACAAAGTACACTCTAAGGGGTACTACCAGCACCGCTCTGACTTCTACTACCACTACTACCAAAAACATGTTATTGACACGATTAATAATAAAAAGGGGAGGGAATATTTGTGGTCGAAGAAGTGGAAGAATGTTTCCTTCGATCATGAGCATTCGTCCTGTGAGGAAGCGGCAAAGGGGCGGGAAAAGGCGAAAAGAACAAAAAAGCCCCAACGGGATAGCAACACATTGGGTGGTAAAAGCACACACTGCGGTAGCGACGCCGACTTATCCACCTCCGACGACTCGCTACGCGGCAGCAAAATGGCGAAGAAAGAACTATCTTCTAGCAACGAAAATCTGTACAATTTTGATGAAACGTTCTTGCCTAAGGATGCATCAAATTATGGTGTGAAGGAAGAAAACATAACAAAGGATAAATACTGGACGTACATGTGCGCGCTTAATATCTACAATATCAAAGCCTTTGGATTATTCCGTTACATACATCCGTCTAGCATCAGCACGTTCAGTAGAATAAAACGAATTCTCTCCGATTTGAAAGTCATCTACATCATCGTCTTGTATATATACTTCCCATTTACTCTTATTAGCTTGTTAGAGCTGGTGTGGTGCCAGCCAGTAAAGTACAAGAATAAAGTCCCCATGCTAATTCTGTATCACATGCCTTCCCAAGTTTGCAACTGGAGGAATAAATTATTTGCAACAGGAGTGATGTTTTCTTCCGTCTTCTTCCTCATCTATTTACTCTTCTTTATCTTTTCTTTCTATGGCACTTTGAAGAATTTTAAAATATGTGGCTCGTATGCAAAGCGAGTGCGCAGTTACTTTCTCTTCAATGGGTACAACTACCAGAATCGGTGTTGGGACCTCTTCCATGTCGCCAAAGTTATTTTCGTGGCAATTTCCTTCACTTGTCAGTTGTACACCAAGAGAAGTGATAACGCTAAATATTTTATCTGCTGCTGCATCGTGTTTATCCTAATCACAGAAGTTACTCTCATTTTGATGTATTCCCCTTACGACAAAAGGTCGAACAACATTTTGCGCAAGTTAAGTTTGTTGTCCACCTTTTCCATATTGATAACTTATTTAAGTGTCCAGTTCAGCTTTTTCTTTAATTTTCCCATCATGAACGCTTTGCCGTTCCTTTTATTTGTCTACTTTCATCTCTACATGGGTAACAAAATTCTACTCGAATTTGCCATTTACAAGAATATTTTTAAGAGGAAGGAAGAGAACGAGGATCAGCAAGACGTAGGGCGAGAAGCAGAGGGGTTGCTGAACGAGCAATCCTTCTTTAATTTTGCAAAACAGAAGAGTAACCAGAATGGGGTCCACCTGGACGTCCATGCAGATGATAGGAACGCAAGTGGGGCACACAACTGTTCCAACAAAGGGGGAGAGAAGAAGGAAAAAAAAACTTCTTTCCATTTCCCTTTCTCTTTTCCTTTTCCCTACCCATCCGCGTTGCACATCTGCAACCTGTATGACTTCCTCCTACGCGTGAATAACATCCCGTCTTATTCCATCCTTTTCAACGAAAAGGGGGAGGAAATTTTCATATTTGAAAAGGGGTCCACCAAATGTAAGTACGAAGAAATAGTAAAAAATGTAAAAATGAACACCACGGAGAGGTCTCAAACGGGAGTAATAAGCCTAGATTTGCTACACTCAGATTTGCTTTACTACAGCATTAGTGACTCTTCCAGACAGCCTCTCTCCAATATGAACTATGTAGACCTGAACAAACAGAGCACGAATTGGTCTCAACTTATGGGTGAAAGCAAATTATCCAACAATTATGAGCAAATTTTTCTGAGAGAAAAGAAGTACCCCAAGGAAAAAGAAAACTACCTACATGGCGACGTAGATAGAGAAAATTCAAGAGGGGCCATCGCTCCAATTAATATAACTCATTTTATCAATTGCCTAATTGAAGCCATCAACATTCTGTTCGTTAATCAGTCGTACAACCAGATAAGTGTAGAATGGATTAGCTTTGTTACGAGATTTTCTATCTGCTTCATACACTGGATGAAGAACTACGACGAAAAGTTAGTCAACCTCGTGCCGATCAATAAGAAGCAATTCGAAATGAAAAAAAGAAATCTCTTATTCTATTCCCTATTTAGTTCCTACGAAGAAGTTTATTCTTTGCAGTCTATCATTGGAGACAAGAACAAATTTGAGGAATGCAAAAAGAATTTCGTACAAGCGGAAAACCTAGAACAATTTTACCTCTACCTGAATGAAGCAAAGAGAAAGAAGCCTGGGGCAAAACGCGCTTATAGCCAAAGTGATGATGAAGAAAAATCCGATTGTTACACTTCTCTGAATTTTCTAGATGATGAATTTTACCGATGTGAACAAGATATCATTAAATTACTTTTTGATGAAAATATTTTTAAAAACTTGTCCATCTCCATCGTGGAATTTTTCTTCTCAATTTATATGATTCAATTTATCGAAAGTAAGCGTCTCTCTATTTTAATTTTCCTCTTCTGCGAGAAGAAAAACTATTTAAGTAGGGAAAAGCAATTTTTAAAAATAATCCAAGCCAGAAAAAAGGATATCCAACTTATTATGTACTCGCAGAACAACAAGGAGATTTACGATTTCGTGGAAAACAACTATCTGAATGAGTACAATCGGGATTTAAAAAAGAAAATCAAAAATCTACAAAACTTAATCAGAAAGAAGGAGAAGTCCTCCCTCAAACGAGAAAAGGTGAAAAGCGTCACCCGTGTGCAGGGAAATAGGGCGATGAAAATGAGCAACGCGAACGCGTACTTCGTCCAAACATTGAAGAAACTCCTCGACGATTCGTCCGCCACCACGCGACGACACACGGGGAGCGCAAGAAGAAAACCGCACGAGAGGACGCCCCAGTAAATGTGACCACTTTATCGAATGGACCCACGCGCACAGCGCCCCCCTCCTTTCGACGAGCAACAAATTGACCTTATTGGCCGAATTGGCTTAATCATCCCAGCCGCCTGCCCCTTTTATTCAAGCGCACCTGAATGCTGGGGATTTTTTCATACGCTGCAAAGATTTCTACGTACTTGCTTACCCCATTTTATGCCCCTTCTTAGGACATAAACTGTGTACATATGATACTTTTACATTTATTGCTAACTTCAAGTGTGCTACACCTCTCGTGTGTGGAGATTCTTACAACGCATACAACGTATGGAGCATAAGCTCATCGTTCGCAAAAAGAATCGTAGGTTGGCCTTATTTCAAAACATACTAAGTAACGTGCACAATTGTTAGGGGTGTGTTAAAACATGTAAGTGGCCGCTCGCGCTGTAAATGCATTCCCAAAGAGGGACGCGACTATAAACATCTGCTTATGTGCACACTGTGCTCGTAAAAGGATAGGTCCCACCCTACATGGTAACAAAACCCCTGCGCGTGAAAAAGGCCAAATGTTTGAACAAAAGAAAGATACACTTGATATTTTTTCTCCCACCCGCGGCGGCACTTTTGCAAAAACGTTTCATTTATTTTTTCAGCTTGGAAAAGGCACAAACAGGGGGTAACGATACCATAGGCACTCTTAAAAATGAAAAAAGATAAAATAAAATTAAAAAAAAAAAAATAGAAAAAAATAAAATGAAATAAAATAACCTCTTTTCATCAACCCAATTATGCATATGCCAAACAGAACAGCGGTTCAACTACGAAGGAAGGGTTCAAATTTTTGTGATAACTTTAGAGGGTGCCTTTTCCTCTTCTATCAACGGTGAATTTGGCAGGAAAAAAAAAAAGCATAAACACAAACATAAACACACAGATAAACATAAACATAAAGTTAAACACAAACATATAACATGCAAATATGTAAGCGCATGAACACAGCACATTTAACCATTTATACGCTCGTACGGGATGTACAGAAGTTCTTTCACATGTAGCACGCCGTAATCGCCCCGCGTATACCGCGACATTATTTCCAAGGACTGAAACACCCCAGTTTGAAAGTAAAGGTCGCGGGAAAATCGCAGCGAAGGGTACCAAGCAAAGGGAGCAAAACATATAGAGAGCACACGCCACGTGAATGACACCTATATGTACAATTCCACAACTCTGAGAAAACCAAAATGAGGAGAAATATACTTCGAAAATTTTGCCTTAGCAAAAAAAATGTCAAAATTTTGGATGTTCACAGAAGGGAATTCGCTAGCAACCTTCTGTTAAATAATGGAATGACATACCGGTGCAGTGTGTTCCTTAGAGGTAGTAACAACTGGCTTGCAGAAAGCCAAGGGAAGGCAGTATCCTTTTTCTCAACAGAGAAAGATCATTTGAGCTCATTCAGCAAAGAACAGATTGAGGAAAAGGTGTTAACCGTGCTAAAAAAGTATATACCCCCCAATGTAGAAATTAATTATAATGAAGAATTGGAAAAATGTAAAACGAAAGATAATAGAGCTTGGGACTTCCTGGACACCGTCGAGTTTTTAATAGACGTAATTTTCCATCGCCTGTGTGCGTGTAGAACGTGCCTTCCTGACAAGAGCCGTCGAAAACGTTTCATTTGTTAACTGTCACAATGTCATTACATCCTCGGCGTAGTGCAAATGCGACCGTGCCACCGTGCGACCTATTTTGCACTCGTCATTAGTACCCACACGTGTGCATGCTTATAAATGTGTGTATCACTTCCCAAACCACCATCGCCTATAGATTGAATCTGAGTTTAACATCACCATACCGGACGAAACAGCGGACAACATCAAAACTGTGCAAGAAGTAATAGATTATTTGGTTCAGCTGAACATTAAGAAGACATAGACTTCACTCTTTTTTGTTTCATGCTTTGGTGCATTATTTTATGTACCTTTTCGCAACCCAGTTTTAACCACCATTGTGAATATGTGATAGCCATTTTGTGCTTAAGGACCAAGCGCGAGGATTCTTCTCCTTCCCTTAAAAAATTACTTCCTCTTCCTCTTCGCGTAACGGTGTAGCTGCTCCAGTTTCCAAGTGTATGTGTTACCTATGTGAGGAGTTCACATTTACACAGGGGCGCCATTTCCCCCGTTTCGCAACAAATTTGAGTTATTTAGAACAAAAACAAAAAAGGGGAGCGGGTATGGGCTAATTTCGCCTTCGTCTTCCCTATGGTCTACATTTTCGTCCTTTTTTTTCTTTTTTTTTTTATATAATATACTTAGAAATATTACACCCCCCTTTGTGAGAGGGGTCGCTCTTATCCTTTGCAATATTTAAATTAGGTGTAATCCTTAAAAAAGAAAGCAAAAAAAAAAAAGGGAAGAATTTATTCACTCTGGAATGGTCATGAACACAATTGTCACATGTAAAAACGCGTTTATTTCGTTTCACCAAAAAGGGGAAGAAGTGTGCCATGAAATAAGTGCCAAGGTATATCTCATTAAAAAGGGTACATTTGCTTAAATTCTTTGTTATCTCTTAAAATTGCAATTATCCCACTACATGTTCAATTGGAAAATGGTTAAGAAATTTTCTTTTCACATTCGGGGGACAACAAAATGTGTGTACTTGTACATTGGGGAAAATAAATTGTCACCCTCCTTTTAGGATGTGTATGAACGAAACATGTGCATAATGTAGCTTCCAAAAAAATTAGAAAACCAAAAGGGGGAAGAAAAGAAACGATACGCGGGAAAGAACAAGCCATTGGTTAGGTGACCATCCGCAAACACAGTTTAACTCGCTTCATTTCTTAACTCCTTACCCGAAAGTTGAGCCGCGAAAGAGATCCGCTAGTTCTCGTGAAATATTTCCTGAACGAAAAAAAGTCCCCCAATTTTCTCAATTGCCAATTCGCGGGTTTCAGATTGCACACTTCAGATTGCGGAATTCAAAATTCTCAAATGCAAAATTGCAAAACGCCGATCTTCACACTTACCAACCTCACACACCTCTCCGATTTTTCGCGAGGCAGCCAAATGTAAGATACCATGTGTGATATAAAACGCCCTCACCATTTTTTCTACACCTGAAAAAGGGGGCGAAGTGTGTGTATTTATCCGCCCTTTGCCTGTCTCTTGGGGGGAAAATTATAACTCTTGTTGCACTTCCTTTTTGGTGGGATTACCCGGCAACCTTATCGGCCCCTGGTTCGAGAGCGACCAAAGCGGGGAGGCGCACGGGGAAGAGTAAGAAATAGGAACAGCCCCAGGGGTGAAAACACCCCGAAGCACTGACCAGTAAAAATGCTACCCATCAGTGACCTGTAAAAGTTCCAACAATCAGTGACCCGTTAAAGTGCCACCCATCCGTGAACCGTAAAAGTGCCACCCAGCAAGAGCATCACAGCACCAGGAAGCAACATGCCGCGGGGAGCAAAGGCGGTCGCCGAAAGAAGTAACCAAGCAAGCCGCTTGCGTATCAGTTCGCCAAACGCGGGGAAGGGGAACATAGACGGAGAAAGTACAAACAACGCGCAAAGGGGTACGCGCAAAAAAAAGTGAATTTCGCTGCAATCGGTGAAGTATCGGATCCTCTTGCAAATCTTTATTTTTATTTTATTCTATTTTTTTGCCAGTAACTACAACACGAAGGAAGGATGGGGAGAGGACCCCCGTGTTGCGAAGAAGAAGTGGACGGGGAGATTGACGCGGAGTACCAGAATTTAGAAGAGCTAGAGGGAAGAAAAAAAATGAATGTTCAAGGAAAAAACAGAAAGGGGAATACGCACTACAATGATAAGAAGGAATACATCGAGAAGGTAAAGCGCCTGAAGGAAAAAAAATATTTTGGAAATAAAACGATAGGTAATAGGTACAGCTATATATACCTAATAAACCAAATATTCGGATCAGGAATTGTGTCCATCCCATATGTGTTTAAAAGTTCGGGATGGCTACCTTGTCTAATCACAAACATTTTCATATGCGTCTTAACCATTTTTAACACCTTACTTTTTCTACGAGCGATGACCATGATCCCGAATAATATCCATTTTAATAAGAGGTACGAGTACATCTCCACAGTGTGTTACTTCTTGGGGAAGAACAACATATTCTTTTGGCTGATGCAGATGTGCTACTACGCCAGCATTTTGGCAAGCAACATCATATCGATAGTCATAGTTTCCCACGCAATGGATTACATAATAATAAATGCTGTGGGTTACACGGTAGGGTTTACTCTGTACCCGAATTTTCAAATAAAATACTTCCTAGACATAAGCGAGTTATACTACAGCAAGAGTTATGTGCTGTGCATAACGCTGGGGTATGTAATCAATGCGATTATATCGATTTATTTCTCCCAATCCAATTTGGAAGACAACATGAAGATACAGCTTCTGTCCTTCCTATTTTTGATGAGCACCATTTTTCAAATGATTTTCTTAAGTGGACTTAAAATATATCGCTACAAGGCCAGTGGGGCCATAATCAATAAGGGCATAAAGAAATACACAAATATAAAATATCCCACCGCTTTTGGAGATTTTAATTTCAGACAACTTCTCTCATCATACATTTCTTCCTACTCAGCAGTGACAGTAATTCCATGCTGGGCAAACGAAATGAAGTCAGACGTAAAAATTATCAAAACGGTTTGGGTGTCCAACTTTTTCTGTTGCTTTGTTTACTATATATTTGGGTACATATTATGTACAGCTTACCCTGACATTAACAATGACAATATATTGTACTACATTTTGCAAAACCCTTTTATAAACACTTACATGAAAATCTGTATATACCTATTTGACTTGTTAACCATTGCCCCGGGAATATATGTCTACTGCATAGCTACTCGGTACAATTTAATCAATAGTAATATTTGCTCTGAAAAGATTGCTTTCATTTTTGGAACCATTTTCCCCTTTTTAATTTCCTGGTTTTTTACCTCCAGGGCTATTTTCGAAAATGTCTTCACTTGGTCCAGCCTGATTTTCTCCTATGTCTGTAATTTTATCACCCCATCTATTATATATCTCATAGCTTGTAAGAACATTCCCTACTCTGGCAAGAATCCCCTGCACCATATTCTTGTACTCTACGACCCGAAGCAGCACAAAAGAAAGAAGCCCACTTATGGTTTCTCCTACCCACGGGATGATTGTGAGCGGGGGAAGAAAGTGACGACTTGGAACTCCTACAAAGTATGCACCGAAGACAAATCAAACAGTTGTGCAGCAAAATATGACGCACGAACCATGTTGGATGATACTCCCCCGAAGAACTCCCCGAATGAAGCGCGAGAATGCTTACTCCCGCTACCGCATAACCAGAGGGGCTACCTCCATTTGGGGGGGAGGAACTATAAAGCTGCCAATGTAGAGGCAAAATATCAAGGGGAGGTCCACCCAACATGTGACAGGCCGGTATATTTAAGCGGCCCTCATGTGAGTGCCCCATATGGGACAAATGCGAAACCACCGATGGTCTACACACAGGAAGAGAGATATAACGAAATGGTCGGACCTCGGGGGAATCTTCCGTACAAACTTCTCCCTCGCGACGCGGAGGAACCAATGGGGATATCCCGCAGGGACGACTTCGTAGTGCAAATAAAAGCACAACCTGGAGAAAATCCACGTAAGGGAAAACACCACGCACAGATGCAAAGAAAAAAGAGCATCTCGTTCCAGGTCAATAGCAACCCCACAGATGTAACTACAGATGGTACATATATCCTAGCGGATAGAGAGATCCCCTCAGAAGTGGACGAACCACTGCCACAAAATGAGCAGAGTTACCACACCAAACAAGACGACGAGAAGGGGAAAAAAAATCCATGCGAATTCCACCGTCGAAGGAAAAGCAGCACGGAGATATTCGAATTTCGCAAGTACAGCTCCCTCTTCAATATGAAATCAAACAGCATAAATAAGAACAACCCTAAGGCGAAGCAAAGTCTACCAAGCAACGTTAGAAAATTGAGGAAGCACAAAACGGTCATGGGTTTTGAAAAGGAAAATAAAAAAAACAAAAGAATTTCTATAAAAAATGAGCAACAAGAATGGTCCGACTATTCAGACATCACCGATAGTGAACTTTTAAATGATAAAATAATAGCAGACATGTCAAGGGACATTTACAACGATATCAGAATAATCAAAAATAACTACGAAAGGGATGAATACTTGATTAAATATTCGGACATTTTTGATTCCTTTTTGAATTTGAAACAGATGCTGGAGGGCAGCTCCGACGGGGAAAAGGCTTGCGATGTGTGCAATGTGCACGATGTGCGCGATGTGTGTGATGTGTGTAACGCACGCCATTTTTACAATTTTGACAGCACCGGGAAGGGACTCTCGCTGGAGCTTACTGCGCCGAATGGAGGGGAGCCCCCCCCCGGCAGTTTAGCGGTAATTGCCTTCGCGTATACCTATGATGCTCGTAACACAAGGGGGGAAGCGCTGCCGTGTAGGAATCTTCCAACTGGGAAACAGCAAATGCCCGATGTGGAACAGGGGGGACACTGGACGAATCGTAAGCCCTTTCGAGGAAAGACAACGACGGTGAATTATCAAACAAGAGAAGAAGACAAGGAAAACGATTCATACCAACAAGTTAGAATAAAAACTACACAATTGGACACTAAACCAAGAGGAGATAACCCGGATGGGGAAGAAATGAAAGAAGTACAAATTGACCTGCCCTCAAATGATATATATGAAGGAAAATTAAGTAATGATTTAAAAAAAGATTTTCATGTATTCATTAACGGAATAAATAATAAGCAAAATTTAACCTGGGCCTTCGATGGAAATAAAAATGAAGGAAGACAAAATGCTTTGCCAAATAGTAACATCCATGTGAATGTGTCCAACGTGGAAAAATCTTTCCATTCAAATGATGCTATAAGTTCCTCCTTCAGAAAATCCAAAAGTGATATTTATTCTTACCCCCTGAATTTATGTAAAAATGAACATGGCATGGACGATTATGTGGATGAAATAAATGGCATCATCCTTTTGAACAAGTTACATTCTCGGAGCAACTGCCCCATCAAGCACAAACCGAGTGAAGAAAGTGTGCATACCTTTTTGCAAACCAAAAGTGCCGGCAATTATGCAAGCTGCAAATTCATATCTTTTCCCAGTGACGAAAAGGGGCATGTTCATTTCGAACAGATAAATGAATTGGAGGAAACCAAAGAAAGGGAGAAGAAAAACGAAACTGAAGATACGCAAAAAAATTTTGAAACAAATCATCAAATAGTTACCCCCCTGGGGAACGCAAATTACTCCCAAGTTGATGTTACACCTCATTGCATTAACATGAACAAGTATGAAACATTTCCCAATTTAGTACACAACAGAAAAAGAATTCCACCACAAAATGGTGATCAGGAGGGATATGAAGACAAACAAGATTGCCAATCAAAGGACAGAATCTTGCACTTCCAAAATTCGTTCAATCGAAAAAGTAAAATGTACAAAGATGTGAACACACTGTCCGTGCCCGACAATGTGTACAATGTGATTCCAAAAATTAACAAAGGAAATAGCTACAGCAACTTCGATGACACCATAAATAACATATTCAATTATTACAAGTACAACTTTTTGCTCTCCTTCAGTGAGAAGAATAAGAAAAGGGGGAGTTTTAGCAAATATAAACATTCTAGAAATCCTCATTGGGTACACAACCAAACCAAGATGGACGGCGAAGGAGGAAGTGACCGAAGTGAGGGTCAGCGTCATCATCAGCGTGAGCGTGACAATGACTTCCCAAATGACGGCTGCGATAGGGTATACGCCCAAAGCATCCAAGAGGGAAACACAAATTCGTCCGATCCCACAAATGACGATGTTGTTTCCTACAGTGACAACAACGAGGGGGAAAATATGCCAAAAAAAACCTTTTCCACTCCTAATTCTAAGTTAAACTATTTGAAGAAATTTCATGCTGATGAAAAGACGGAACCATTACTTATGGATCACCAGAAGGAAAACCACTACGATGAATTGCCAACAATTAATTTGATTTGTCCAGAGAAGCCTTTGCATGGGTATGAGGATGCTTACCAGATTGATGACTACGTCAATGGAAAAATTAATGAAAATATTATCCACGTCTATCCCTCTAGGTACCTACGAATCAGGCATGTAAAAATTACTGAGGTGCTCCTATTCGTTGCAGTGCTTCTGCTGCTCATTTCAGTGTTGTATGATTTTTCTTATTAATGCATACGTTCGCATGGCACTCCTCATTCGTTCCGCAAAAGTGCGTACCGCTCCACTGCTCCATCGCATCACCGCTTCACCACCTCGGAGATTTCCTCATTTTTATACGCCTGATTTTGTTGCCCAAATAAACTTTTTAAAAAAAATTTTAAAAAATCGCACCCGTGGGTATGCCCATAGCAGATGCGATCCTCCGTGCGGCACTTACGGAACGAGGACAGTTTCACCATTGTGTGTCCCACTGTGTCTCTTCCTTTTAGACTCATTCCAACAGCGTTCACTTTGCTGTCAATTTTGTTTTTTTTGTTGTGACTTAAAAAGACGAGTTTTAAAATCCTTTCCAATTTTTAAAAAAGGCGAATCAATGGGATAGGGTAGCCGCGGGTGCAGCTGGCACACAAAGAGGTGCCGAAACAGGCAGATGGGCTAGGAAAACAAACGCGCGCGAAGAGAAACCGCCGCTCACGCTTACGTTTGCCGCCCTGCCTCAGTACTCGAAGAAATAGCTGTGCAGCCCCATATCGTGCAGGCGGAGCGCGCTGCGCATCTCGAAGTACGTTTCTGTGGATACAGCCTCATTGCCAACGAAGTTCCGGACGATCTGCTTTTGCTTTGTCCCCTCCTTTAAATACTTCAAATAAGACGGGAAAAAAAGGGCTATAAATTTTGGAGTGATAAACGTTTCCGCAAATGAAATAATCTCCGTCGCATGCTCCTTTGCTTTATCACACCCCGAGCCGCGGGATTTGAAATGGTGTACCATTTCGCCGAATTTGTTAAGGGAAAACGGGTCACTGTGAGGGGTCTCATCTGGGGCTAAAACAAAAAGCCTATCCACATCTTGACCCTGCACAGCTTGACCTTCCACAGCGGTGCCCTTGCACTCGTGCTTACTATTCCAGTGCTGTATAATCAGCATAATGTAGCAGGGGAAAAAACTCGCAAACAATTCGTAATTTCCCCTTAAGAAAAAAAGATACCTTGCTGCAACATCATGCGAATTATTCACAGGTTGATTCGCTATCCTCCTCAGCACAATCATGATGTAACGGTCGTATAATTCCTTTCTGACTAGGCTAAAATGGTGATAGTATTTATTCATCAAATTGGTCTTCAGCGCGAAGGAAGTGTTCACGTGGCACGGGGGGTGCACTCCATGGGTGGACGCGGAGTGGACAGATGTCGTGTGGCCCGATGTCGCGTAGCCCGATGCGGGGTGGGTGGACGCTGAATAGGCTGACCCCTTTCTCCCCTTAGTTAACCCTTCTTGCGCTTTTCCCTGCACCTCCTGCGCCGGGGGCGCCTTATCCAATGGATTCTGGGGGTTCCTATTACAGATTATGTAATACCTGTAGGTTAACCTGAAGTGGTCATCCACAAATCTCGTTACATCGTCAATGATGTTTTCATGCGCCTTTCTCATTAAAAAGTTTGAGCAGTCGATGCCACGAAAGGAGTAATTAATAACACTCAGGTTGGAAAATAATCTAGCCATATCGGGTAAGCTGTCATAAAAATATATATAATTTTCTTTTAATAACGATAGGACTTGAAACTTCTCCGTTGTGCTCATCATATCTGCCTTGGCATCCAATTCTGTGAAAAGTTCCATGTAGGTTTTATCCTGTATGTGCGTCTTTCCCTCATTTAGCATGGTGAGGCGATTCGTCTGGTGGCCACTGCTGCTGCCAAGCGGCATCTTCGTATGAGGGGCGAAACTGAATGTGGAATTATGTACAGTATTTTTGTGGGGTTGATTTTTTGCCTCCTCAACACTGTTGGTAGTAACTGCTGGGTAGTGACTCTCAACTGCGCTTCCGCTTATCCTCCCATGGGTCACCCTATTGTGGGTTTCCCAGGTAGCATAATTCGTGTCGAAGTTGTAAAAAGTTGAGGCGGACAAACGGTCCATCGAAAGACTGTCTGGCCCCAGGTCTTCTCTATACAGAACCTTCCTAGCAAAGGAAAAAACATCATTTTGGCACAGAAGAGAAATGTTGTTAATTTCATCCAGTGACATTTCATTCAAATTAGGAATGCGATTTAGTAAGTCGAGAGCGTTAAAACAGGACCGTATGTCTCCATTGCAGTTATGTGTCAATCGTTTTACAACTTCTTTCACATTCCGGTTCAGATTGATCATTCTACAGTAGTACCTTTCTGCCAGGGTCTTCTCCAAATATAGTGGATGCATTTTTTTTAACCTTACAAAAGAGACATATGAAGAATTATTGATGTCAATTCCTAGCAAGGTATTGACCATCCTTATTTGTTCAAACGCATTTATAAAGATTACCATGGGGTGAATTGCATAGCACTTGGGGAACTTCTCCACGGGTTTCTTCTCCCTAACGTATTTTATATACTGCTGTTTGCAGTGATTGACTCGGTTGAATATAAAATCCATCGAACTAGCGCAACTCGCTCGGAAGTCTTCCGAGTATTCTAATTCGGTTAATGGTAATTCGTCTAGGAGGATCGCACGAGTGCCTATAAAATGTTCTTCGTAGTAATTTCTTTGTTTCTCTTCTTCCCTCTTTTTTTTAAGATCGAGGTTGACAAATTCCCTGTAGAGGTAGCTCCCCGAAATGACTCTTCTCATTTGTTTCTCCAGAAAATTTGGTATGAACCACTTCATCGTAGTATAGTTTAGTTCTATATCCTCCATCAGGGCGCAAAGCATTTTTGCCTTCACATCTCTGTCTTTGTCCAAATGGGTTATCATTTCTTCCATCAAATCGTTACATTTGATTAGCTTGCTCGCAATTCTCCTATTCACTTTGTAAAGCTCGCTGCAGTAGTTGGCTACTTTCTTTCGTGCCTTCTCCGGATGGTGCAAATCTCCACCAGTTTGTGCCGAATTGACTGGAAGGGTAAAAAGGGAAGTTTCATCCTCAAAGGGGTTCTTCTTCCCCTCAAGTATGCCTCTCAATTTTGTGTACACAACATGGTGATCCTCGTCACAATTCGTTGGAAAGTTTCCCAGCGACTTGGCGAACGGTGAAACCAGTTTTGTGCCCACCTCTTTTAATGGAAACTGAGGCATGATCGGCGAACTTTCCTCACTTCCCCTCTTGGTGAAGTTGTTTTTCCTAACCAGGTCACTAGCCACTTGTCCCTTTAGGTAACTCACAAGGGTGGTATTAATAATCACTGCCTCGGTCAGATGGTTGCCCAAGAAAAAAATGCACAGGGAGAGCCCCCTAATATTATTCAAGACATAAAATTTGTTAATTAAATGTGTGAATTGATCGTTTAGTGCCATTAAATACAACGCATGTCTGCTCGTATGACACTCTTGAGCCATGGTATCATCATATATGCCGTTATTCTCGTAACTCTGCGAAGTGTTGTATTGCCATAGGTGGTTTATTTCTTCACCAGCAAGCGCTCGGATGATCTTCTCCCGCTTAGACAGCTCACGACTAACGCGTTGGTGTTGCTCTATACATTGCTTTAAATTTGTGGTTTCTACCAGGTGGGGTATTATTTGCTTTCCCCTGTGTGATTCTATAAATTGGTTTACTTCTCTTTCGAGTGGGTCAATAATCGAAGAGGGGGAATTTTCTCTCAGTTCCCCCTTCCACACGTTGGGAAAGATAACCATATTGTGCACTTCCCTTCGTTGCATTTCATTTTTCTCCATTCCATTAATGAAAAAGTGGTAGCTTCTTCCATAAGACATGAACTTTTCTGCCCTCTGTCTTATTTTCTTCCTTTCGATAAAGTCTGTTAATTCTTCCCTCAGAGTGTTGGCAAAGGCGAAATCGTCATTCACTTCCTCCATCAGGTTAATACACAATCTTAAAATATCTATGACTGATTTGATTAAATTGCTCGATTCCTTTGCGTTGGTGATGATATGTTCGCGCAAATTAGAGGAACACTGCATGCTGTTAACTACGTATTCGCTATGATTCCCATCCACAAACATACCGATTATTAATTCCTTCTCAAGTGTGTGTGCTTCTTCCTCGTTTTCCAAAATGTGCCTTTTCAAATTATGAGCCGAAGTTAATAGCTTGTTCATTTTTTTCCACAGGTTAATCCCAACGGTGTAGTTTTTGTGTGTCATCTTGTTAAACTGGTTAGACACAGCGACGGGGAAAAAACCCTCCTTGCCTTCTAAGCAGCGTGGACTGCCTATTTTTCTCCTTGCCCTAAATGTGGGACTGACTAGATTTATATAGACACTGTACAATTTGAGCGTCACGCTCGCTATTTTCCCGTTCATGTCACTGAACTCTACCAAATCTGCTACAATTTTCTTTTTAACCCCACTTTCAGCATCTAGCGGTACCGATTTGTTCATTCTGACATTCGGGTGGCTGTTCCCCGATTCGGTTTTAAAAATTTTGTGTAATGGACAATTTTCTCTGTGCTCATATTTTTTCTTCCTTTTATTGTTACTAATGATTCCTTGGCACAACAACATGTTGCATACCTTGTTCTTTTCCGCAAACTTAAGCTCATCCAGTTTTTTCCCATGTTTCTTTGTTACCTTTTTTGTATTTCCTATTTGGCAATTCGCATAGAGTAAGAAATTAATATAAGGGTGATAGTACTGCTCATTTTCTTCACTAGTCCTTCTAACCCATGAGATATGTTCCTGCGATTCTGATTCGTAGTGGCATTCTCTCATATTTAATTTGTCACATAGGTACTTTATTAATGTGCTTTTCCCACTTCCAGGGGCGCCCAGAATTACACATATGTTCCTTAATTTCTGCACATCAATTGTCTGTTTAGCACTGCTCAAGTTTTCTAACTCTCTGCTTAAAATTGGGTCATTATTAAATTTTATCAAATGGGTGAAGAAGTCCAAAATGGTTTGCTTGTCCTTGGGGTGTATCAATATTTCGTCGAAGCTTTTCGGCATGTAGTTATTCATCTTGGTCGCACCATGTCACATTTGGTGATTTTCCCCCTTCACCATGTTTCTCCCCAATGGTAGAGTTATGCGATATGGAAAAAGTTGCAAAAAGAGGCAAAAAAAAAGGAGGTGATCTACCCCTTTCGCCTTGGCCCTTTCCTACGAGTCTAAGAGGCCATTCCCGTCCTTCCACAACAAACGTTAACGTGTACACATAAAAAAAAAAATGCAGTGTTCCACATATTTGTTGCTTCAATGTTCTACATTCTGCCAAGTGTATTCACATGTATATGCACATGCACAGATATGCCTATGCCATCACATCAAGCTGCTGCTTTTTTTTTTTTTTATAGCACATCCGTTACGCAGGTGGGGCATTGCGTGGTTATTGGAAAAAAAAAGGGAAGAACGCGTTTAGTCGTTTCCACTCGATTCGATTTAGTTTAAATCGATTTGATTTCATTTAATTTGATTCAATTTAATTTCATTCAATTCGATTTAGTTTAATTTTACAGGATTGCGTTTTATTTCCTCGCGCGAATCCTTCACCGCACCTCTTTTGCCATTTTTAAGAAAGGATAAATTCTACCGCTAGGTGCCATGCGTATGAATTCACTTTGCTTAAAAGATCCAGTCCCCACTTTTTTGAAGCTGACATTTTGAAAAAAATCGCGGAAAAAAAGTAATAACAATGACAGAGAGAGAGAAAAAATGGCGTATCGCTGTGTATCGAAGTGAACCCTACAGCTACGCATAACCTCCCCATAGAACCACATTTCACCACAGTTGACACTTTTTCCCTTTCTATGCAGAGGTCCAAGTGTAACATCGAAGAAGCCTTTAATTAGAACCCCAACTCCACCTATTTGCCTACACAAGATGAATGAAAATATAAGCAAAGTAAATAGCACCGTAGTAGAGCTACTGGGCATGTCTGATTTGTTCAAGCGAATGCAAAACACGTGTTGGAGCAAATGCATACCCGATGTAAACGATTCGTTCCTTTCGGTAGGCGAAACAAGTTGTGTTGACAGGTGTGTCCATAAATATATGGAAATACATACACTTGTGGGGAAGAATCTACAGGAGTCTCAGCTTTCAAAGTGAAGGCGCGTGGGGGAAACGTCGCCCCCTGCGCAGGGAGTCTTCACATGGATGTTTCTCCACACGTATAAGCGTTTGCACATAAGGGGAATCTATTTCAGAGTGGCGTACATTTACACATATGTTATCCCACTTTTTTTTCCCTTTTTTTTTTTTCATACCACTGAAATTATACCCTCTTACTTGAGGCATTTTTAAGCAGCGCCACTTTTCTTTCCCCCCCGACGCACTCCTTTAAAGGGAAATTCACCTGCGCCCTATTTAATTTAACCCTATTTGACGGCACTTCCCTCGTCAATATTACATTTTGTGCCCATCCATATTTTGCCATTTTAGCTAGGGGGGAGGGGGTACATTTGTATGACGGGAACGACGTCTACAATTTTTTTTACTTCGATCTGTTCCATTTGTCGTTGCACTTTTCTCCTTCCTCCTTTCCCCTTTTGTTCGTTTTCTTCAGGTGGTAAAACAAAATATAAAGTGAACTGCAGCCTCACTTTATCATTTAAAAACTGCACAGTTAAGTTCCTCCCAAGATTGTGCAACTCCGTGTGCACATGTAGAACTTGTCAAAATGGTATGGATGCGCCCATCATAAAAAAGCGCAAGTATAAGGCAAAAAAACCCTTTATTCTTGCCTCTTCTGAGTGGGTATAATGACACATAGATAACTCTTGCGTGCGATAAAATTACGTCCAAAAATGACTTCCAATTTTTTTTTTTTTTTTTTCATATGAATTTTAGTGCCATCTGCCGTCCCCCAAATGGGAGTGATACATTTACACTGTTAAATCATCCATTTCATGCTTCCTCATGCTAACCATTTTAGCTAGTTCGTTCCACAGTTTCTTTCTTTTTTTTTTTACCATTTATTCTATTACTAATTTATTTCCCCCCGTTATTCGCCCATTTTAGCCTGTACATTTGTCGAAGGTAGAATGAGAAAAAAAAAAAAAAATCCATTCACGAAAGAAGCCACGCCAAATCGATGTTGACAAAGTTGATGAGCAGCCTCAACAGGTGTAACAACTTCCTTACGAGTAAAAAATGCACATTTCAATTTGCAAATGGAAGAAAATATCAGTCGAGTATCTTTCGAAAGAGCGTGCGAAAATTGATCCTCTTCTTTTATAAAGAAATACATCCAGACTTAACACAAGAGTTACCAGAGGAGCTAAAAAAGGTGAACAGCGAATCGCTCAGTGTTTTGAATTCATACATAGACATCTTAAGTTCGTCTGAAAGAAGCGAAAGTAACATATTCTTGGAAAAGAAAATAGTTTTTTTTAAAGTGTTTGAAAATTCACAGAATAAAATAATCAAGGGGAGGTACAAAAACGTCGTCATTAAATTGCAAACCCTGCCGAATAACTTATCATCCCAACAGAAGGAAGGAATCACAGCAAAATTGATATACGACATTAGACAATCTTTGGAGAGAATAAAAAATGTAAACATATTGGACGAGTGCGATAAGGAAAGCATCGAACATTTGGATGAGGACATATTCATTTCGAACAAAGGGGGGAGAAAACAAAATGGAGGCATCAACTCCATATGGGACGATTTAACCGAGCATGTAAAAAACACACAGGCGTTGTTCCAACCATCGGAACAGCAGACGCTGTTAATACAGAAACGAAGAAGCTACTTTCATTACATAAAAAAAAAATTAGAAGAAAAATATCAAAAAATTAATCACAAAAAGAGGAGGGAAAGGAAGTTGCTAAAACTGAAAGAAATTGCAAATAAAATAGCACGAGAAAAATTCCCAGACTTGGAAAATAAAAAAAGTAAATACGATAGTGACATCCTCCATAGCAGTTATAAAATTGTTCAAAATGGATTTGATCCAAATTTAATTTTTTTCCATAAGGACATTAAAACGGAAGAAGAAAAAAAAAAAGCCGTCGAAAATTTATGTGGAATGCACTTGAAGGATGATGCCGATAAGTGGTTGCTAGAAAACTGCCTCAAACTTTTAAAAAATCATCAAACGCAAATTCCGCTGGTTGTCTACCTGGACAAAAACCTCTCCTTGTGCCCTACCTTTGGTTTTATTTACGTAATTATGCCTTTGTGTATGTCCAATCGTGGGCAACACCACGTGGTACCGCACAATGGGTCCCCTGTAATAATGCCGCCCGAGAGATAGGCACGCATATATGTGAACCTACCCCCATGGGTACGCCCCTCTTCCCCCCGTTTTCAGATCCCTGTTGACTTTTGCGTCAGGGACTTTTTTAGCTTCCTGGAGGGAAATCTTCATCGGGCCAGAAGCATTAGGAGGAAGGTACACGTGGAATAACCTGGGCGAAATAAAACGCGAACTGAATCGTTTGCAAGCCCATTCAATGTCCCTACACTTTTTGATGATCCATTTCCTCCCCATCTTAGGTTTTATCAAGCTTCGATATGTGATCCTACCGCAGGGAGATGCAGGACACAATGTTTTTTTAAGTCAAATTGTGGAAAAAAAATATTTTTTCTTCTTTTTTTTTTTCCCTTTCTTTTCGTGAACAACGGTACAATCATTAATTTAAAATACATCGCGTTGGTTACACTGTTAAAGGTTATTAGGTTATATTTAATTTTATAAATATGAATAACTTAAAAATCGGGGCCGCGCTACACGTGCACCTGGAAGCGTTGTCTTGTGAGCGGCTATAGGCATCCTCGGGTCGGGGTGCAAATGTTCACCTTTCTTGCTACGTAAAGGGACAAACAGTGCATGAATCGCTTGAGCGATGGAACAAGGAATCTAGCGAAAATACAAAAAGAATGGTACAAGAAAAGGGTACAAGAAAAGGGGTGAACATCAACGGGGTGGGCGTAGAATCAAACGTGGGGACACAAAAATAAACGGAACGACGCACAAACAAAGGGGATGCACATGCCATTCCAATTATTTTTTCATGTGCTCCTCTGGGTGGTTCGCCACAGTGGGCAGAGGGTTCTCTTTCTCCGATGGCTACCCAGACTAGACCTACGCGCACGCCAGTGGGCACACACATACATATATACATGCATACAGATATGTACACATATATATACATACTTATCTACACACATATTTACACCGATATCTACACACACTTGGGTAGCTCCGCCAGCGAGCATTCTGCGCACATGAGGACGATATTTAAAAATGAAAAAACAAAGGAACAAATGGGGGTGATATGGGGGAAACAAAACAAACGATCGTCCGAGCAGGGGGAGGAGGCACAGCTTCTCACATTGTGAAGAAGGGGGCATGCATTCTACACAGTACACAGACACTGCGGCAATCAAATTCTGCGAGACATGCAATATATCATTGCTTCACTCTGATGGTAAGTATCGTGACGGCCTGGACCTTCTGCTGACTATCCTCGTAAGATATTTTGTAGACATTCTTGATGGCGTCTCGGCATAGAGGACAATTGGGGAAGGAGTCCTTCAACTTCAGCGAATTGAATATCATGGACCGTATGCATGTTTCGCAAAATCCTCCATGCATACAGGGATAGAGCACCACATTTTTAAAGCGCTCATCGCAAATTTCGCAATATTCCACAGATGATGCACGAGGGTTGTCTATACTGTCATATTTGTCACCATGAACATGGCTATGGTTTTCCTCCTGGCTATTATTACCGTTCCCCTCCTCGACTTCTTCCCCATTGCTGATGGCATTTTTTGGAATTTTTTTGTTTTTTAGATTTCCCCTATTAAATATATTCTTCAAATTAAAGATTTTGTTTTTTTTCGAAGACGATTTTTTCAGTCCGCCTTTATTATTCGTATCGAAGTCCCCTTTGTTTTCGTTTGCTCGTTTTTCTGAGTTACTCTCCAGGGTCACTTCCTGATAAATGTGCTCATTTATTCTAACTAGAGTAAACTTCTTTCGATTTCTTTTGTTATTTTCAATTATGTAGAATCTCTTCTTTCTTTGCCGATTTGATTGGAACTCTTCAAAATTGGTTAGTCGTATTTGTTCTAAGTAGGAGTCATTTAAAATGTCTATGAAGAGCACTATGTCGGTGAGGATAATGGTGATAACGGTGGCTTTGCTTATATTTAATAGGATAAAGAGGCAGGCAAAAACGATGTTAATCCCGAACAGAAAATCGTGAACATAGTGCATGGAGAATGAAGCGGATGAGCAATTGTTACTGTCATTTCTTACTGCATACTTCCTAAACACTCTATGTAGTACATAAGTCAATAAGCAGAACAGAGATATGTACCATAAGAAATACTGAAAGTGGTAATTAAAAATGGGATCGATATCGTGTAGCCACCAAATGACGCAGTCATCCCCTAGGATGATCTCTAGAAACAAGATGGTGCTCACTGACCACATATATTTGGCAAGGTACTTCCTTTTGCTCTCGATTGACAGTCGGTAATTCTTGAAGCACAAAAATAACACAAAGTCGTACAGAATTCTAGACAGGATTAGGGCGATACGCATGCAGAAGAAGAAAACTGTTAGTATTAAAAAGATTTTGCTAATTTTTAGATGCTTCTTTTGAGATACAAATAAAAATATATAATTACTTCCTCCGGTGATCGTCTTTGAGCTTATATCTTTACACGGATTTAGCAAAGATTCCTTTACCCTATAAATGCACATATTTCTCTTACTCAGTTCATCATACAAATGAATAGAATTTTCTATTATTTTTTCCTTATTTCTTTTATCATTCGATTTGTAGAATTCTAGCAAATCGTTACAGTTTACATTTAACTTGTTAGCCACTTCACACAGGTTGTTGTGGAGTGTAAAATTCCCGTTCGATATTTCGTCCCTTATCATGTCATTCGTTAGGTGCCACGTTTTTAGTTCCTTGTCATTAAATTGAAACAGAAAATTATTTATGAAGGTGCTGTTGTAATTTGATTCGATCAACAGGAACTGATTTTCCAATATCCTTACTTTTAATAGGTTATTATACAGTAGGGCAAATTCCATGCTAAAAAGTGCCAACATCACAAAGATGAACAGAATTAGCCTAATGGCTTTATTTAAATTGTATTCTTCTAAATTAGGCTTTATCTCATACCCTAGTAACTTCCCGATAAAGCATCTCTGATAAAAAGATAGCTCAAGCTCTTCTTCATTTTCGTATTCGCTTTCATTCACGTGCGTGTTCCTTAAGTCCCTTATCGTTAAGACGTAATAATCTAACTCCTCTGCATTCGATGCGTTTTCTGCCGAATTTCTGCTTCGACTTGGGTCATTTTGCGCCTCGTTCCCGTTCTGATTTTCCATGCTTGTCAGAAGAGCGGTCTGCGTTTCGATGTTTTCTCCATTAGGAGGTGGTGTGCCCCCGTTTAGTCGATTCTCACTAGGGGGATTCTCAATAGGGGCATTCTCGCAGGTAACATTTTCACTCGGTCGGCTGCCCACAGTAACGTTCCCCACCTCCCCGATATTTCCGGAGACGATGTCAAATGATTGTCCATTCGCTTCCTGCCCAATGGCGGTGCCTCTGGAATGATTTTCCTCATGTTCTTCATTTCTCCTGGATGCATTTGGAAGAGAAGAATCAACCCTCAGGGAGGCATTTTCGTCCTCATCCTGCGCGGAGTGGTGACTGGGTCGCGTCGCCGATAGGCCATTGCTGGGGTTATTATTCGTGTTGTTACTCACGTTGTGGCTGTCGCCATTACTAGCACCATGACTAGCACCATGACTTGAGCTATGCCTGTCTCTGTCGGACGCGCCGCTTAAATCATGGGGGAGGGCAACATCACCCCGTTCACTAGATTCATGAAGACGCACATTGGGAGAATCATTTTCTGCGCCATGCACATGAACAAACTGAAATTTATTTTTCATCCTAACATTGGGGATTTCCAAATCACGTACATACAACTTGGATACATTTCCGTTAATCACTTCCTTCTGATTATCCTTCAAAGAAGCGTAATCACTCATACTTGATGAGAACATGTGATCCATGTCTCTTTTATTATGCACATTACATTCTTCATTTTTTTTTTCCAAAAAGTGGAAGCTGCGGAATTTTTTCCTGTTTTTGACCCCCTCTCTTGGGGCAATTTCTGGAGTATGTTTCTCCTCCATTTGGCTTTTGCTGCCAGTCATCGTTGGGGCGAGAAGGGAGTGCATATGTGCATACACATACGGCTACGAATACATATGCTCACGCGTATATGCATCCGTATGTCCATACATACGTACGCAACTTTTTCTTTTTACAGTGCGAACAATTCAACTCTGCGCAGTCGATTCCCTCGATTTACTCCTTATGGGTGTTTTTATTATATTTTTTTTTGGCAAGTACGCTGGGTGCACATGGGAAGGTTTAGCCACGCGCATAAAGAGGCCTACATATGCATACAGAGGCTTACATACGCATACATAAGCATACATACGCATATATATGCGTATATACACATATGTTCACAAATATAGACGTAATGGTGCATCTGCCCAGAACAATTTGCATGTTTCCCCTTTTTGTTCACTTAAAATATCGAATTCCCTGCTTCTCTGCGTGCACAAATGTTTCTCCTTTGCAATTTTTTGTCACGTTGAAAATGGCAAATACAGACGGGTCGCTTGAGTAAAGAAGTTCGTTCGTGCAGTGGCCCTTGGGTTGGCTTCGTTCCACGTGGATTAGGTTTGTTGTCGCCTTTTAAACGGTTTAAAAATGTGCACAGCGTTTGACGCGCGAAATGCATAGGCAACATGCAGGCGTAGTACGTACATACACGCGTGCCTACGTCACCGCAGACAGATATACATCTTATGTTTTCCCTGCGCATGCGTTATGTGATGGCATATCTGCAAGGGAAAGTAAACGTTTAGCAAGACGAAATAAAACAACGTACACTTGGGACAAAATCCAAAAAAAAAAAATAAAAAATAAATAAGACGTAAAACAATCAGGATTGAAAATAAAGCTTGTGTTAATATGAAAAATGACGCTGATTTTCTTCTTAAAGCGGAAGCGAGTTATGCATAGCAGTTGTACGTCTGCAATTGCAGTTGTGCTTCTGGCTGAGTTATCCGCGGCAAGGAAAGGTTACTAACCTCGAGAGAGAGGCCTGTTCTCCTACATAAAAAATGTAGGCGCAATCATGCCTACCATGCGCATATGTACACATATGCTCATATCTGTATACACATAAAGGCACGTTAAATGGTACACAAAACAGACGCACGCCTGGCTTTTCCGCCTTCCAACCAATTGCAAACAAAGGAAACATTTAAAACAATAATCTTTTGGGAAGTACAAAATTTCGGATGATGAATAACTTCACACGTTCTGCGCTATAATTATGGCGTCTTTCAATTTTATGCTCGCCAAAGTATGTACCAACGTAAGCGTAAACCGGTTATGCAAATCGGTACGATGTTGGTTAATCAAATACGTATGGCATACAGCACGGCAATGTATACACTCATGGGCGCACAAAAAAAGGAAAATTGGCGCTTAACTGGTTAATTTCCATCACAATAATTGTGAGAAAGTTTTTGCATAAAGCATTTTAACGTATGCACGTGCGTGTTTTGGGAATGGATGTTATAATATCATATAGCATGTATAGGTTCGTTATAAAGGAAAATTGCACGGAGCAGTCGGTATATATTTTTGGTCATTTAAAGTTCATTCATTTGCATAATCAATTATTCGCAATTTTATTTGCTCGCAAATTTATATACTTGGAAGTTTGTTTATGATTTCTTTATATTTGGTTGCTACGTTGTAGCACTAAATCATAACGAGATGACGAATGGAACGCTTTTTTTGCGGGCGCACAGTTTTTTTCTTACAAAATTTGCAAACTCCATGTTGAAATGGAGCGTTCTTCTTTTTTCTTTCCAAATTCGCGATTGCAAAAGGGATTCAAATTTAAAAAATCATGCCATCGCATCATCAGTAGGGGCATATTATATATATCATCCACGTGGCTACGAATATTGGCTTGGCAAATATGCTTAAAATGGTATACATAAATATGTAATAAAAGTGCCCACAAATTTCCTCTATATATGTATTAATATATTAACGCGTGCGTAATTTTATGGCATATTTGACAAATTCCAACAAGCCCATGGTTCAAAATTTATTTGCACTCAGAAAACAGCATTTTCTGTTCAGTCATTTACGAATTTGTAAATTACGCTCTCTTCAGATATAAAGAAAAAAAAAGTAATAAAAGGAGAAAAAAAAAAATAAATGCACGAATGAGTTGAGTAATATATTCATGACGAACATTTTTTCCTTTTATCTTGGATTTTGATTATTTTCATTTTTTTTTCCATTTTTTTTTCCTTTTTTTTTCCTCATTTTTTTTCTATTTTTTCCCCCCCCCTTTTCATTTTTTTAATTTTTCCGCATTTTGCATGTAAAGAAAAAACGAACCTGTGATGAGGGGAAAGGGGGGAATCTTCAATTTAACTTCAGTATCATCGGCTTTACTTCTGTTATGGTCCTTTTATTTTTAAGGAAAAAATTAATTTTGTTGTAAACTCAGCTTATCAATTGGCGAGTGCAGAACAAGACAACCATAACAATTTATATAAGTGAAAGTTAATGAAGTATACATACATGTGCTGTACGAAAAAGTTCGCTCTTTTATTTAACCATTTCTCCAAAGTCTGCTTCATTTTTTAAAAAAATAACCCCCAGAGTCATTGGGCGGAACACGAAGCAGAACATTTATTTTCCTCGCCCCCCTCCTCAACATTTTTCAACAAGACAAATAAAGCGCTCATATCTGTTTTCGAATTCGTGAACATGTCTCTTCAAATTTCTGTCTTGTCTGTTTTTACTTTTTTGCATCACCGCTTGTTCATGTTAACGGATAAGTTTTCTTCATTTCATCGCAGCTTGGGCGTAAGCGGTATATCCCCCCAAACGTCCGACTGAATAAGGAAACGGCACAAATACCTTTTGTGGTTTTTTCCATATATCTTTTTTAAAAAAAAAAACTAACCTGACAGTGAGGCAAATGGCAAAAAAAAAAAAAAAAAAAAAAAGGAATTTTCTTCCCCCCTTGGTAGACATATTGCGCGCAAGCATATATGTCGCAAAACGAATTAATTCAAATATTTAGACGTAAGAATTTGTTAAAAATGGCAAAAGAAATGTTTACAAAGTCTCACACCTTCGAACAATTTCGCTACGTCCATTTTGAAATGCTTCTTCGCTCCCCCGTTTGTTTTCAATCCACATCGGGTTAACACGCCAGCAAGGCATAAATGCACAAATGAAAAAAATTTAAAGAGATGATGTAGCGGGTTTTAGCCAATTGATCAAACGTGTACATGGATAGATAGTCCCCCCATTTCGAGAAAACAAATTCACTGACTCGAGTGAAAAACTGAACATTAATTTTGCACGACAGAAATTGTTTTCCACCTTTTTGTATCACCTTTTTTGGGCCACCTTTTTCTACATTATGAATAATGCTCCAAATGATAAGAATAATTGTACGTAAATATTTTCCTCCCATTTGTGTATCCTCACATAATTCATTTTTTCAAAGTATGGCTAGCCATGTGAGTTATCCATAACGACTCTCTTCCCATCTGTATAGAAGTTGCGAAAAAGACGAAATGGTCCAGAGGTGGGAACATATCTACATGTTCGTGCGTATTTTCACGATGAGGGGCGTCTAATGAGCACAGCATGATGTTCCTCCTCCGTCTGGTTTTCCCAATAAGGTATAAGCTTTCTCTTCATTAACCAATGTATGCTGGTGTACCACTTTTGCATCGGTTTACTCCCACTAATTTAAAGAAAAATTAAAGTGCTCCCCTTTTTTGTAAAAAAAATTAAAATTGCACAAACAGCTCATCTATCTCGATAAGCGTGAGGGGATCGGAAGGAAATAAATAAACAATAAAGTAAAATAAAATGGCACGCTTGGAACATTCCCGTAATGCACTTTCAAGGAACGAGGGATGATCCCTATGTCCCTTGAGGGATGCACATGCAGGCATCCAATCATTTTGGGATTTTGTGATGTATGCATGTGTGCCCTTCCAACGTGGAAGAGAGCTCCATTTTGCGAATCTCTAACTATGAATCACCTGAACAAGTGCAATTCAAAAAAGGCCACTCTTCACATATAGAATATGCTGTCAAGTTACAATGGACAGGGAGAACAAAATGGAGTAATATTCTCCAACATAGAAGCAAGATCAGAAGGAACCAACTTATAAGAGCATAAAAAACGGCATGCCTCCTCAGGGGAGCATAAATACTGTACAGTTGTTTCTTAAAAAAGATTCTTGTACATTTTAGCAAGAGGAACCTTGCTTATGCAAATGCACAAAAGAACACACATGTACGTATTGAGCCCCGGGCAGTGCACCTTAGCGGACATGTTCTACCAAGCTTCGGCACAAGAAACTACTTCGTATTTGCTTGGTTCCAGCTGGCTCGTTCTTAAAGTGAGGAGAAATATTTTTTCATTTAGGGAGAAGTATAAATTGGAACGAAGTCGCCACGCCTTCTCCATTACCATCATTACTATGGCTTTCGTTTTTTTTTTCGATGGCACAACGTGAATAGGTAGCTAAATTACAGGCTCTTTTCCCTTTTAAGAGCTAAAAAAACGAGCTTTTTTTTTTTTTTTGTCATACATTTGTTAGAAAGTGAAATGAAAGCGATTCACAAACCGGGGGAAAATAATCCAAGACAGGGCAATACATATATTTAGGTGTATATAAACCCGTCTGTCATGTGTACGTTCCTGCACTTAATCCGTTAAGCATATTCAATTGGTGAACATATGCCTTATGGGGAACTCCCCAAAGTTACTTTTTCTGTGAAGGAATCTTTTACAACCTGGTGCACGTTTAATTAGGATTTAACCAAAAAAAATCCATTACCATCACAGCTGTAATAAAAAAAACAAACTGAAGGTTACAGCACTGAGGCGAGAAATTGTGGGCCGAGCCTGATGGGGCAACCTTTCTCACTTTATACGGACATTTGCGTGTTGAAAATGCAACATTTATGAAACTATGTAAATATTTTCAATAAGCATCTTGGGGGACGTTAAAAGTGTGATTTCTTGGGGTGAAATTCATTTTGTGATAAATGCTGGCAAAAATGTTACTGCATCTTATACCGGCAATTTGACCCTGATACATTGGGGGCAAACATTAATTTGCAATTATATCATGTGCATACATGCGCGCACAGAACGCATATGTATACACCTTCATGTGAAAAAAACTTGTCACAAGTGTTTCCTCCTTTTTTTCTTTTTTTACACACGGAAGACGTACCGCACAACTGTGCGTAGGTTGGGTGTGGCCCTCACCCATCTTTAAGTGTAACGCATAATTTGAAGCATACCGAATGGGCCTGATTGTTAAATGGGAAACTCAGCAAAAGGGGAATATATATATATGTTTCTTTTTTTGAAGAGCTTAGAAAAGATGTCCTAGCTTTAAAATTGTAATTTTAGCAACAAGGAAAGAATTACTTCCAATGCACCATGGTGCACATTCGCCTAGGAGAGGACAAATCTTTTTTTTTTTTTTGCCCACTAACCATTTTTGCAAAAAAAACAAATGAGCAGGTGTGTTGATTTCAAGGGGAGTAAACCAAATGGTACACGTGGACGGAAGTATACGCAGCCGTTTGCAACAACCTCACGACTTAGACGCGGGTGCGTAAAGGGATGCGCTTTGTGCGCACTGCATCCCTCCCCACAGGTCGGCAACGGCTAAGATGCAGCCCAAAATACTTTGTGCACAAATTCAGGAAGGTTCCTAGGAGGACTACCTTCTGCAGGGAAACGCTTTTCCCTCAAGGTGCCGCAACCATTTCGTACTACCTGAAGTTGTTAATCTTTCATCAGATGAATTTCATTCGAAGTATGGCTCGCGAATAAGCACACCTTTCAAGTATAGGTACTACTCACATGTTTGAGCCCCCTTTTTCCGTAAGACGCCCTCCTCGTAACCTCTTTTTTAAGTCTGCCTTTAAGTATCTTGTCATTTCTCCCTCTTATAAAATTGTGGTAAATGTTAAGTAACAATATGTTGGCAAATATGTAAGGCTCCACGATTATCCACCGCTCGGCCACCCCCCAAAAAAGGTAACCCTTTTGTAACATACATATATGCACAGTGAAGCAGAACGGCATGCTGCTGAGATGTCATAGGACTCTATGCAAAGTTACGCGAGGGAAGAAAATTGCCCAAATGCGTAGGTGGCACGTGTGCACGTCGACACTGCACGCTTGAAAAATTAAGCAAATGTGTACCCAGGCACCTTTTTTCCAGCATAAATCAAAGTGCCATGTTGTGCATACGTGCCAATTTATTGCTAATGCACAGTGGGGGAAAAAAAAAAATAATAAAATAAAATGAAAAAATAGAATAAAATAAAATACGGCATATATCACCTTAAAATATATGTAAGAAAAATGCATTTTTTTTTTTTTTCCTTTTTATCGTAAGAGAATTGCAAAAAAAAAAAAGATAACGTAAAAATTAAAAGAAAATATGTATGACCCTCAAAAAATTGCAAATAATTGGGAGGGGAAAAAAAATATACATATATGTAAGACCAATTTACCAATTTTTTTTTTCCTTAATAAAAATTAAACCTAAAATTAACAATTAATTAAAAACTGTTTACACAAATGGGAAGGTTTGAAACGTGTTAAAAAAAATATATATATTACATATATATTAAATTAAAATTAAAAATAAACATACATACAGCACAATAATTTTTTTCACATGTAATTAAATAACATTTTGTACACAAAATACGCATCATATGCAATTTTTCCACATGGCGCGTAATTATATACGTATGCGTGTATGCATTATGTATATCCCCTACTATTTTATACCCATAAGAATTACACTCGTGTAAGTTTATATACAAATGAGCAACAAAACATACATACCTGTGCGTGCTTCTTTGCGTGCACATGTAACAATAGAGATAATGCAAATTAAAGTCGTAATTAAAATCCCCTGAAAAGAGAAAAATAATTAACTCTTTTTAACTTTCAAAAAAAAAAGAAATAAAAAAAAAAAGAGAAGAGATAAAAAAAGGAAAAATTTTACGTATGCAAACAGTTTTTCATTTTGCCAATCCCTTTTTATTTCACAATTTTTTTTATAATAAAATCTAGCACTATTGGTATGTTTTTTTCTTTTTTTAAACATTAAAGAAAAAAATTAAGTGGCATTTTGTGTGCCGCGTTTGTATTTTTTTTTTTTTCTTTTTTTGTAAAATGAACTTAATTTATAAACTATATTTAAAAAAAAATTATAAGCGTAAAGCACTTAGGGTTTAATGTGAACACACGAAGTTATATTTTTTTTGGCGCTTTGCGATGAGCCAGAAGAGGTGGCATATACATACGTGCGTGTATTCATATATATGTAATGTATATATTGCATACATATGTATGCAGTACGAACACGCGCGTAATTCATGTACAATTGCGTTCTGCGTGTGTATACACATGTACCCGCCCACGCACTTGCGTACAAACGCGAATACGCACATGCGAAGGTACACTCACGCTTACGTACGTACATTCATCCATACGTACGCTTATAGATAGATAATGTACAAATGAATATGCATACTACGAGCAAAAGGGGAAAAAAAAAAGAGAGAAAGCGATTAAAAAAAACTAGAACGTGACAGATGACATATGCCAAATTAATCAATTAAGTAGCAATAATACCTGCATAAGCGAAAATCGTGTATGCATGAATACGTGTATTTTATGTTCATACATGTATTGCATGATTTATTCACGTTTTTTCGCACCTTTACATAAGCCTTCCCATCTTTATAGATATACGTCCCAGTTTATGTACACCTTGACCGTTTATATATTTTTTACCATTTATACCTACGCGTAAGCGTATTCCTGATGCATATAAATGAATTAAATATAAATTAAATACACTATGCTGTGAAAAAAAAAAAAAAAAAAAGAAATCGCAAGGCTTTTGTGAATACCCACAGCATTAAAAATATAGATATATTAAACTATAATTAAATGTTCATATATGCCTTAATGTATGCCTTAATTTACGCATTATCGTATGCATTATTGTATGCATTATCGTATGCATCTTTCCCCACCTACGCGCGCAGGCACCTAGGCATTTATGCGAGTTTCCTCTCGAGAGTAAACTGAAATATTTAGCGGTTTACCTACATGTGTACGTTTATATATGCCTACCAAAGTGGGCACATACACCTATATGTACACAGCATATGTGTGTGATTTTAGCGCCTCCTCCTACGAACCAGAAATTAAAATAAAAAAACACACACCAAAAAGGGTACCAAACATCATACCCTGGAAGGAAGGAGGAGGATGAGGGGAAAAAAAAAAAAAATTCGCACACGCCATTTATGTGTACCCTGTGTAAATATTCCATTCCTGTTATTTTTTTAAATATGTCATAACAAAACATCCTGTAGAGTATATACCCTGTGTGTATGCCAATATGAATGCGTGCGCGGATACTTATATATACCTACATATGCATATAACGTGTGCATACGCTCCACAGATATAGGTAGATAACCTCATCGCGTGTGTACACGCTTTACATGGCATACATCTCTAATTCAGACAGCTATTCCTTCTCCAGTGAAGCACCCGCTTCTATGTGCTCCCACACGTTTCTGCACAGCCAAGTACACGTCTGCAAAATTGAAGTTCTACCGCCTTCTCACTGCGTGTAATGTTATAGCCCCCATCACACCCGATTAGTTACTTATATATGTATGTACAACCCCTGGCACGCATGCCTGGCGAGCTTACCTCCTCCCCCTTTACCTGTATCTACGTGCCACCCTAACACATACATAGATGTATGTGTGTATACATGCGCTTTAGTTTTTATTTTTACTTCTCACCATGGAATTCTTGAGCAACATATATGACAAGGTCCTGTCCGGTTATGTGTCCACCGATGTGTTTAAATATAAGACGTGGCAAGAAGGCGTGCTAGGGAAAGAACGAAGCGGCTGCAATGGCGAAGGAAACGATAATGACACGGACACTGTGAAGAGGAAGCTAGAAGAAATTTTGGGGACCTTCGTGAAAAATGGAAAAATATCACACGCTCTGTGGGCCCAACACAAAATGTTCATAGGAGACGAAGGAATATATGTCCTAGGGGAAGTGATAACCATATGTCAAATTGTGAAGTTCGTGGACGCAGACGACCTGGTTGAAATAAACAGCAACGAAGAATTCAAGGCGAACATTTTGGAAGAGTTAAAAAGGAGGTTAAACATAAAAAGGAAAACGGAAATGTTGGAGGAGAAAATTATTACAAACATATCCATGTGTAACAGCAATTTTGATGAAGATGACGGGGATGATGACGCGAATGACGACTGGAATAAGGACGAGCATGGTGACGATCATGAGGGGGATGCAGATGGGGACCGTGGAGGTGGTGGTCGTGGCTTCGGCGAAGCGAGCAGGATGGACAAAAGGAGGAAGAAAAAGAAACGAGATAATCACAATGATAAGGACAATAACGATGATGAAAGTAGCTACAATGATAGCAGTTACAATGACAACATCTACAATGACAGCAGCTGTAACGACCATCAACGTGACGACAGCCAACATGATGACTGCAAGCTGGGAGACAAAAACGCCGTGTCCAATTTCGTCGAAATGCTATGCGCAGGAAAGACGAATAAATTTGGCTTTTGCGAATACGACCAAAAGTTCAATGACAGATGCAATCTAAAGAATAGTAAAAACGACCGCAAGTCGTCCAAGTCGTTAGAACACTGTATATTACCCTTTCGCGAAGATTATGAACACAAATATGTGTGCCTGGTACTGAACCATTCAGGGAAACGAGAAGCGAGGATATTACGATTTAGTAGGAACTGTGTAAGTACAAATAAATTACTGGACACGCTAAAAGGAACAGTTACCTTCTTAAATGAGCTACGATTTTTGTTTAAATTTTTTAGATCACAGGTGGTGTTAAAAGATAGGATTTATGGAGAATTCTGTGCATATATAAAATTCCATAGGAGTGATCCTAACTTTAGTGGCACGAAAGCCATGAATGAATTTTTTAATTCGCTAAATGATAGTGCACTGAAGCAGCTCTTCTTTGGCCTGAATGAACAGAATTTGAATTTGCTAGAAGAAGCAATATCCTATTGCCCCATCGCTACTTTTTCCTTCTTTAAAAATATTAAGCTTTTGAAAAAGATCAATGTGAATGCCACTAGGCGGACGTGGAAGGGTGTTTGCGGGTTGCAAAGGTTGTACAAAAATTTGAAGAAGGTGCGGGAAAAAATGGCGCTGGAAGATCCCCGATTCTTCCTCGAGGAGTACGACTCCTCCTGCGTTGGCAGCATCGGCAACATTGATGCCAATCGCAACGGTAACCGTAATGGTAATGGCAACCGCGATCAGGGAAACAACGATCAGGGAGACTACCATCAGAGAGACTACGATCAGGACAATCATCACAGCAACAGTCATACTTATCCCCCCTCCAGCGAGCACGTGCGACTGGCACACGCACAAGGTAATAATTCCGATCCCCGTGAAACGAATTTGCTGCATGCGAAAGAAAGAGAGTTAGCCTTTAGGAGCAGTAGTAGCAGTGTTCACGCCGGTGGAACGAGCGCCAGTGCCGTCGCGAGTTCGACCGCCTGCACGAGTACGTGTTCTATTGCGTACACCGTTAACAATTACAACCATAGTAGCGGTCACGTAAGCAGCGACCACGTGAACAGCGGCATCGTAGGCCTAGGCAACAAAAAAAATAAAAGCGATTTATTTAGCGATAAATCAGAAAATAAAGAATACAACCATCAAATGTATAGTAACTCATTAGATTTACACAGTGAAGAGAAAAAAACGAAAAATTTAGAAATTAACAAACTAAATGACACCTGTTTATATGTTACCTCAGATGAAGAGAGTCTTCAAATGGCCAAGAGTAACAACATCACGAGTGAGTTAAGCAGCGCGAACAGAACTATCGAAGAAAATAATAAAACGTTACTAGATCAAACCAATAAAATGTTCCTAGATGATAATTACAGAACAGTGGATGAAATGGGAAGACGTTTAAGTGAAAACAGATTATTGAGGGAGAATTCCCTGGATGATGTAAGAGCCAACATGATAAAATTATTTAAGACGTACGGAGGACAGTGTCGTATTGGGAAAGTGCAAGGAAGGTGTGAAGACGCAACGTTTCAAACGGATATACCTCCTGCGTTTGGTATATTCGATGGAGTAGGTTCGTGGAGTTTGGAAGGAATAGATGCTTCTAAATTTTCCATCGGGTTGTCACTTGCTTGCCAGAGGGAGGCAGAGAAATTATCGAAAAATTTAAACGACTATGCGAAGGTTTCCTACAATACAATAATCAGATCGAAGCTGTTGCTAAAAAATTCACTAGACAGCGTAAAGAAAGAGTATGCAGATGCGTATGGCAGCTCGACCGCCATCGTAGGGTTGATAGATGAATATACTGGGAAGTGTGGGATAGCCTCTTTAGGAGACAGCGTGTGTATGATTCTTCGAAGGGAGTTCCTTCCAGGGGATATAAATTTCGAAAGAGAAACTTACCCGAAATTTCCAGTGGAATCCTTTTTGTATTATAATAATAAAGGAAGGAACCCTTCCATAGTGCGTAAAATTATATGGAAGACGAGTGAACAGAAATGGGAGAACGGAGCCCCCTACCAGCTATCCAACTTACCTGATCGTAGTCAATGGAAAGATTTAGAAAATAGAGGCCTACACAGTTTTGTAAAGATTTTAGAAAAGGTAGATATTGATGGAGATCCACCCGAAGCAGCGGTCAGCCCTCCATCGGAAATTTTATGTATGCCCGGAGATTTGATCTTACTAATGAGTGATGGCGTGAGTGATAATCTCTTCGATGAAGAAATAGAAGCCTATTGTACCTTTGCCATCAGCCCAGAAGAAGCATGCGAGTTAGGAGACCCAAGTGCATTCACCCCTGCGCAGGACATAGCTTATTCCATTACGAACATAGCTAAGAGGAGAAGTGGGGACAAACTTCACTGCAAACCGTTTTTTCCATTTCTTGGCAAGTATAGAGAACCAAATAGAACCTACAAAGGCAACAAAGTAGATGATATTTCCTGTGTTGCCATATGGGTAGTCTGCGAAACGGAAGACAGTGTAAAAAATTTTGTTGCTAATCCGGATCAGCCATCCATACTGGAAACGGACAAGTACTACTCGAATAATTATTTCCAACATTTTAACAAAATAACGGACATTTGTACACCTACGAAGAAGTTTATTAAAGAGAAGAATCGCATAGAACGAGTCAATTTGCAACACATTAATATGGATTCTGGCAGTGGAAGCGGGGAGAGAGAGACCGCACATGGAAAATTTGGCCACTCCAATAGTTCCAATATGAATGCCCAGCTTTCTGCCAACTTTTTCGACTCCTCCGAGACGCCCATTAAGTTTAGCTTGTCCGATGATAACAAGTATCAGGACTTAAGCGACATAGTGTTGAAGGACGAGGATGACACTAGCAGCGGCGATGGGGACGATGACCGTGGTGATGCCGACAATGGCCACGGTGGTAACAGTCACGGTGACCGTAGCGACGATGAGAAGGTCACCCTTCCACCTGACAACCCCAACGCCATCGACTCGAACAAGCTGAGCGACGACATGGATTCCATGAAGACGCCAAACAGCAACAGCCTCAAGTCAAGATTCAAAGATCAAATTTTCAACCGGGATGACTTCGATCACACCCCGAGGCAAAGAATATCAGATGAACGCCTAGAAGAACATATAGAGAGAATAAATAACATGTACATTAAAACCCCCATTTTACATATTGATAAAAACTTCAAGACGAACAAAACAAGTGTAAAAAAAACCAAGGCGTCCAACAGGGGAAAAGTCATGAGCAATAAAAAAATGGAACAAGCAGACATGTCAAGTATGTTAAATTACGAGACACCCAAGAAGCAAATGATGATGAGAGGTGGAACCAAGGAGAAAGCGAGCCTAGTTACATCGATAAATGAAAAGGCAATTATGAATTCCTTTATAAATAATGAAACCCCCGTTAAGTCCAGTATCACGAAGGATACTTCATTGAAGGTAGATAAAAAAATTACAAAAAATAAAAGAAAGTCGGTGTTCAATTTTGATAAAAATGAATCCCCAACTAAAATTGGCTACTCTAAAAAGAGGAGTAAAAAATCTTAGTAAAAAAAAAAAAAAAAAAGAAAAAAATATCAACTCAAGATGTATGTTTAAAATGGAGGAGAATCACGAAAATGTTTTTTTTTTTTTTCTTCTTAATTTTATCAAGTATAACCAAGTGTGCACCTCCCCCATCTGTTGGGAAGCATGTGTATCATTTTTTTTTTTTGAAGTAAATATTTGCCACTATCGTGTAACATCTTGTATAATAGAAGAAGTAAAGCAAAACCAGACAGTCGCATGTGTGTAGGTGTGTGCACGTGTATGAAGTGTATGGCGTGTATGCACGTCTACGCGTACGTGTCTGTTAGCGTACGTTCCTACATCTATTTGTGCATGTTTTAGCCAATGTGTAGGTTCGTACCAACGCACGTAAGGGTAACCCTCACATTTGTGTTTTAAAAATTTGGCTATAAAATATGTGCGCCGTATATATATGCGCATTGTCCTAAGCGCATGTTTAAACATGTATGCGCTTACGAAGTGTACGTGTCGGCATATGCATATAGATGCGTGCGTACGTGCGTGTGATGAACAGACCTGCGCACAAAGGAGGGAGATGTACGACGCACGGGAACCTACCTCTACGCACGAAGGGATAGGTGGGTGTGTATAAATATGCCAACACGTTTGCACATGTATATATAGCGCACATATGTAACAGCATTTTTTTTTCTCTTTCATCTTTCCTCTTTTCTTTCTGTACCTCTGTTTTACCCCTTCCCCTCCTTGCGAAGCTGCCATCTTTATTAGGTTTTGTGAAGTATGTATATGTCTACAGGCATATACGTATTGGTAAAAAATTAAGTATGCAAATAATTTCCACATTTTTTTTCTTTTTCACCATTTTTCCCTTTTTTATGCTTTAAAATTTATTTTTTATTGTAAATTTTTTTAGAAATTTGATACATCCTCCACATGCTCGTCGTCATAAACTTTCAACCAGCCCATGTTTTCTATTTTTTTTTATGGGACTGTGCATGCGTGCTTATGATGTGCGTCTACGCCGGCACATGTGCGGATTTGCATACCTACACAGGTGGGCACAACTGCATCGCTACACAAGATCGCTAAACAACACATGCCCACAATACCAACACAACACCACCGCATACCACCACACACCTACACACACGCGCCCGCACACTGCGTGCTTCCCATTTTATTGTTATTAATTTTGCTTTTATATGATGTAATTTCGATATTTTTAAAAGTATAATAATTTAGACAACTATATGTAAAATTCCATTCACTTTTTTAATACCTTTTTTAAGTAAAACAAAGCACAGCAGACGTCTTCGTGTGCAAGTACCCTGCGCCGTTCTACAAAGAATAGGGACTTACATTTCGGGTGTAAACCGTCGGCTACGAAAAATACATTGAAGTGGGCAGCGCCAGCTCGGTTGCATAATTTTTCCTTATTTTCCCAATTAAAAAGGAAAAATTAGCACGCCATGTAGCCACTCTGTTTGGACTCTTCAATTCCAGTTCTCCCAGCTGCTGCCATTCTCCTCGACGTATCGCCTGATGAGAGATGCTTCTTTGGGTAAAAACATTTATTATTTTTTTTTTTTTCTGCTGCTTAGTCACACTTTTTACTAAATAAACGGTAATCAATTTTTCTTCTTAGTATACTAAATGTTAATCCGATTTATAGGATCAAAAAAAAAAAAAAGAAAAAGAAATTTAACCGGACGTAAATTCCAACGTGTGGGAAATTAGATAACTGCGCAACAAATTATTAAGGGGTCTAGAGGCGCTACAAAAATGGCGCACGCATTCCGCATGCGGAAAGAAAATGCGCGTTGGTATGTAAAGAAACAATTGAACTTTTAAAAAAAAAATTAAGAAAAAAGCTAATTATTCATTTTCAGAAGAAAATGGTAAAAAGAGCCACTCGGTCGCATTAACTTTCTTTTTCTTTTTTTTTTTGGAAAGGGAGGAAGGGGGTCAGGGTTTACGTCCCCAAAGATGCCTTCACAGTGGTAATTTAGTAGACCTTCTAATAACTCGTCTCTATTAACTCTCGATTTTTTCACCGTCTCTTTTTTTTTTTTTTTTTTCTTTTTCTTCTTTTTTAAATTCTTCCCGTTTTGATTTTCGTTTTCATTTTCATTAATGGGGTTCCACCCGGGCACTTTTTTTTCTGCGCTTTTATTCGCCAAAATTTTCAGAATGCTATTTGTGACCACCTCTTTTGCGCTTGCTGTATTGCTGTCGAGGGGATTCTCGCTTGCATAGGTCTTCGTGCTGGAGCTTACAATCCCGCTCCTGTTCTGCTCTTCCAGTATTTTCCCCTTCACCTGATATACGCAGTTTTCCTCCTGCCATGTGGGAAGGGACAAAGTGGGGGAAATTAACACGCAAGTGGATTTTATTATTCGCGCAAATGGTTATGCGTGGTTATGAGGTGGAAACCCCCCGGCGCCGCTACTCACCTGCGGCATGTAGTCCGTCCTTACGCGGATGGTTTTCCTAAACGTGCCGTCACTCCTCTGGGTGCCCTTAATAAATTTCTCATTAGTTTTTTCATTGAGTATATAAACATCCCCTAACGGAGTCACCACTTCCTTCAGATGATTTTCTTTATTGTCGTTATTTTCAAAAGAGTTGGGGCTCATCGCAAACTTATTCCCTGTGGTACTTCTGCTGTTCATATTTCTGTGTGTCCCTTTTATGTTTAAGACGTTGAAGTAAAATGCTAATTCCTTCGAAGGTGTAGCAGTGGAGTGGGCAAAAACACGGTGGTGTGCGTGTGTGTGTGGATTATACGTATATACATGCGTGACGAGCTCGTGTAATTTCCTTTCACGGGAAAAATTTCACTGGATGTGGGTCTCTCCAAAAAGATGGCAAGCGTGAAGATATCCGCATTGGTGCTTTATCGCATTTGTGAAATTTCTCGGATGGGTAGATTCTCAGATGCACTCTTCACGCGCGCAAATAATTTCATATAGAATGCATAAGAGGGAGGCAAATGGACCAAGTGCTGTTGCAGGATCGATCAACTTGTACATTTAAATCTTAAAAGGGGCATCAAAAAAAAGAAAAAAAAAAAAAAAACTCAATTCTTCAGCTGATATTTAGCAGGCTGAAGAGAAAATGGTTCGTATGCCAATTTGGGAAAACATTTTTGCAGTTTCTTCGCCAAATGCAGTACACAGAGTCGTTCCACTTGGGACGGTAAATTTACGCATTCACGCTGGTACATTCACAAAGGGTGTTTTCCTCCTATATGTTAAATGTGCCGGCCGGAAAAAAAAAAAAAATTTCCCATCCACTAAAACAATTGTGGATTTATGTTGCGTGAAAATTGTGTTAAACAATCGCCCATATATTATGCCGATAAGCACGTGACATATTCCATTCCAGCAGGAACGCAAAATGCGTTGCATCAAAAGGAGCAAATGAAATTACTCTGACTCACGGTTTGTTACATTCATTCGAAATGGTACGTTACTGGAAGGCAATTACAAATGTGTTTCTAAAATTGCCGTTTGGTTAATTCGTAAGGATAAACTGGCTTAACAGCCCACAGGGAAAAATACGTCCATCGGGATAAGCAGCTTAACTACGTAGAGAAAAAAGTTCAACATTTTCCGCATTAATTTCTATTCCTGCTTTTTAACCGCTTCTTTTATTATTTTACTATTTTATTATTCTTCTATGTTATTATTATAGTAATTTATTATTTTATGATTTTTTTTTTCAATTCCACCGCCAGCCCATGGGAACAAATTTTTTTGGCACAAAAAAAACTCTTCACTTGGGGCATGGCCAAGAAACGGCAGTCGTAACAGTCGACTTTGCTTTAACAACAACAAAAAAAAAAGTTCCCCTCTTGTTCTAGGCGTAACTAACCGTTCCTGATTTTTTATTTAAATTTTTCTCTTTCTCATATAACTACTTGTGCGTCGCCATTCCCCATCTGCATTTCTCGGGAGACCATAAACTCCCTACGCGAACGAAAAATAACTTTGCAGTTTTGTGTAAGAGATCCTCTTTTGAACTTCGCATGGGTGCGCGTTTCCATCTTTTAAAAAAAGTGCCCCCATATAAAGTTGCCTTTATATTTTTACAACACACACATGGAGGGGGTGGGAAAAAAAAAATGATGCGAAAAACGACAGCGCGATGAAATTCACGTAAAAACACTGATATGGAAAAAAAACAACAAAAAAAAGTGTTTTATTCCAAAAATTTACAGTATCATCGACATGTAAAAGAGAAATATAGAAGAAAATACATGTCAGATCATACACCAAACATCATTATGATATTCAAACAAGACAACAAAAGAAAAAAAAAAGGATTATAGTGAACAATAGAGCGGGTTTGTCATGCGTGCATCAATTGCTACGCAGAAAAAAACACAAGGGGGGCTTAAAGAGGGGACCACAGCATTCCTATCGTGGAAGTACCCCTCCCCCCCCCTTAGTAATAGTAAACGTACCCATAGTGGTTATCCCGCCTGAGGTGAATATATAAAAATTTCAAAGAAGAGAAGGGCTTCCCACAGCAGTAATATATTCTATGTGTTTTCACATGAACGAAATGTTTTTCCAGATTCTTCAAACTGGAAAACTGCTCATCACAGTATCCACATTTATTCGTATCTATCATATTTTGTAGCCACAGGGGTCGTTTTCTTGTCCTGGATGGGGCAAGCAAATGTCTGAAGGTGCAGTAATATCTGGGGATCGACTTGGTATCATCATGTTTGAAGTGCTTTAAATAGGTCAGCTTATTGTATATTTCCTTCTCAAGTTCTTTTACCTTTTTGTGCGGTTCATATGGCTGCAACGCGTCACTTGGTTTGCATTCATTGTATTTTCTACGTGCATAATTGTTCCTATTTTTCGTTATATAAAAAGAACTTTTATCATAAAAGTGGTGAGCACCTTTGCTTTTTTGTACGCCCCAAAATGGATAATCAGGTTTGCCATTTTTTTCATGTTCTTCTGCATTGATATAGGTTGCCTCTTCGTGGAAGCCTACCATTTGGCCGCTACCATTATTGTAAACCTTACGCGGATCTTCTGTGTAATATTTCGGGAAGCGCTTAGTCCAACTGTGGCTGTAATACGCGCTGTTCTTATCCATACAGTTGTTTTTTCCGGCTATCCGCACGGCCAAGTGATGGGAGTTACGGGGGGAGAAACTGTGTCCATTGACGAGGTTTTTTTTCACAGGCTGATTATAATGATTGTATTTCGCGTTGCAGTTGTTCCAGCGATGGTCCAGACAGGAGTCCCAATTTTCCCAATTGCCCCAGTGGTTATCCCACTTGTTTCCACACTTGCTACCCCCGTTTCTGTCCCACTTTCTGCCCCATTTGTTGCTCCATTTTTCCCCGCAACTGCGATAACCTTTAAGGTGACTTAGGCCGTGTTCGTCCCGCGCCAACCTCGCCTTGGCCTTCCTGCTGTGCCTATATTTCGGACCATAGTACTGTACCGTGTTATTTTGTATGTATATGTTAACCGTGTTCGTTTTGTGGGTGCAATGATTGCTCGGTTGGTAGCCCGCGTTGCAGTCGATGGGATTCTCCCCTTCATTAGTGACGTTCTCGAGAAGGTGCCCATTTGTGCATTCCTCCCCATCGACCACATCATCGGCGGGGTGGCAATCCGAATGGGAGGGAGATAGTTCCGTTATACACCAGTCCCCCTCCTTCTTACTGGGCGCCAAATCTGTTTCATGCGTTTTGGCGGCGTGTAAAGGTCGTCCACTTGTGGTACCATTTCCCGGCCCATTTGTGTGCCCCTCCCCGCTCCACCAATTAGCCGTTTCCTCGTCGCTAGCGCTCATTCGATGCAATTCTTCGTTGTCTAAGTCTTCCTCGCTGAGAGAATGCATGGTGAAGGACTTTAACATATAGCATTCCCTCTTTCTACTTAGCGTGTCGCACCATTCGAGATATTCTCTGCTATTCCCCTTAGTGCTACCATAACATAGGGAAGACTTTTCTCCTGAATTAAATTTGCCAAATGTATCGTTATTCGGGGTAACGACGTTGTTTTCTATCCCTAGGGAGAGTGTTAACTCCTGTTCGTAACTAACACGGTTATCATTGAGATTTTGTTTTTTTTCCTTGGTCTTATTCGCCCCGTGGTTATTAGCATCGAGTTCTGTGCTCACTTTGGAATTACCTACGTTTAACTTTCCCTCCTCTTCAATTTTTCTCGTATGGTCACACAGTATATGATGAGGTGAACTTTTTTCTTCCTTTACGCGTCCTTTCTTTACACCATAATCGATGCAGTTTTTTTCCCCCTTTCGGTTGTCACTCCCCTTTGGGTAAATTTCTCCCGCTTCTTTCCCCTGAACTTTGGGGTGCTCTCCACTATGATCATTTCCACATGGTGAATCTTTCCCAGTTGGTGAATTTGCTCCTCCTTCGCTTGGAAATCCTTTCGAATTTTCGGTGACTTTGTCACGAGGACGTTTGTTAAAAAGGCCAAATATTTTCAAGACCCTTTTGTTGTCCTTATCTGCCTCATTGGAGAGAACTGCCTTATTAACTGCCTTACTTAATGGGGTAACATCGAACGCATTTTCGTAAAGGCTATTCCTAATGTGTGCATTTTCCTTTTGTAACTGTTTGCCTTCCTCTGGTTGAAGCTTTATGTGAGTTGATTCAATCGGGTTGACTTGCACTTTCTTCTCCTCAGGGAAGTCTATCGAATTATGATCCACCTGCCCCTCCCCATTCGTTGCGCTGCTTCTTACTTTCGTTGTGCCCATTTTTGCCTTTTCACTGCCCAAACTATGGGATCCTCCACGGGTGCGAGAAAACAGGTCCTTGCATTTCACCCCTTGCAAAAATGATTTATCGTTTTTATTGAAAAGGTCTATTTTTTCCTTTACAGTTAAATCATAACTGTTGCACAAAACCGTTTTCTGTAGTACATCATTTGTGTAATTAAAAAAACTATTCGTTGAGAATAAGTCATATATCTCCTCTTCCTTCAAATTGCTCTTGCACAGTTTGTAGTTGACTCCGCTTAGCAACCGGAAATCGATGGTCACTAGCCCCTTCAATCCTATGATGCATATCTTCACATTGTCTTTCGAAAAAATATAATTGTTTTGCTTCCCAGGGTTCTCTTTCCAGTTGTGCTTCTTCGCGTTTTGTCTGATGTCATTCAAATTTAGCCACGCATCCTTTTCTTCATTCAGAAGCGCGCTAACTACGTTGGTCATTTTGTATGTACAAAAATTGTTCTATCACAGGGTGCCCCCTCGGGGGACATACGTAACAAGTTCTCAAGAGGGGGGAAAAGTCACAAATAGGGAAATAATAAATGCATGCAGGGATATATTGCTTTTTTTTTTCTTTTTTGTTGCTTGTCTTTTCAAGTGTATATATAAAAATGTTCACCATTCGTTTATGTAAAAATGTGCTTCCTATCATTTGGGCTACCTTCCATATGTTAATCGAATCGAGGAAAAATTGCCCCCACGCAATTGTGCAGTGTGTTCTTTTGATTCCTTCTCGGTTAGGTTAAAATTACGAGCAAAGATGCGCCAATGACAATTAATGGCGGAAATGCCTTCGCGGAGAGGCCATATATAAACTGCGCTTATTTGCTGTGATGAATGGCTCTCGAATTTGGGGAGGGGGTGGGAATAAAAAAAAAAGGAGGTTAGAACTGCTAACAAAGTGGTTGCAAAAAAGGGTATTGTGTCGGTTGTCTGTTATCCCACCTGTCCATTCGTCTTTTTTCTTTTTCTTTTTTTTTTTCTCTTCGGATGATTTTCCACTGGCAACAATGCGTGGAATTGCTAAACTAATGCTTCAAATTGGGAAGAATTAGAAAAAAAAAAAGAAAAGGTCAAACCAGGGGATCGCAAAAATCTGCACATATTTTACATATGCAATTTACATGTGCAAAATTATACATGCAGAACGCAAACCATGCGGGCGCAGTGACACCTTTTCAGCTTGGCCCACGGGTGTTATAGAACAAAAGAGGAACTACAAAAAAGGAAAAATAAAAAAAGAAACGCAAGCCAACGTTGAAACATTTGTAATCAGATCGTGGTATACTATTTGTGCGGCAACAAAAAAAAAAAAATAGCGTGGCGGAATAGTGGTGCTAATTTAAGGACAGTGCGACAGCCAGGCTAAAGCTTCCCCACCTACCTCATAGAAAAAAAAGAAAAAAAAAGAAAAGTGCAATAATTCTGCGCTCAAAGGAACAAACGTACAAAAGCGGTCTTTTCTATTAAGAGTACATCATCTGATAAGATGATGCGAAGCAACGCAGTTGGCTTCTACGCAGTGAAAATTTACCGCAATACTGTACCCCTCCACAAGGCAACAAAAAAAAGAAAGCAAAGGAGCTTGGCACCAAATTAGTTGATCCAGATTTGCATGACAATCTTGACAATTCTGGGTGATAAAACTGGCCGGAACGTAGGCAACACGGCAAAGTAGAATTTTACAATTATTTCCGCTTCTTTTTTTTCAATTTCGCAACAGCCCTGCGAAGTTAAAGGCGAAACGACTGAGTGCAAATCCTTTAGGAAAAGGAAGGCATTTTTTTCTGTTTTTTCCTTCCTTTTCACTTCATTTTGATCACATCAACGTAAGATGAGGTTTTCTTGAAAATAATTCCCTCCCTCTGTTCTGCGCCCTTCCAATTTAAGCAGACTTCTTTTTACTCGGCAGAAAAAAACTACGCAAAGAGCAGTTCAAAGAGAAGCGCGGACATCAGTGCGAACGACAGCGAGAGCAGAGAAGAGCTGAAGCAAAGCATAGAAGGAGCACGCAACGGAGCCGCTCCAACCAAATCGTCCCTTGTCCCACATCACATCGGTGCATTACGCCGGTATATCACATCTGTGCTCCATCACCCCCTGCCAGCAAAATGTCGGTGCTTCCAACGACTCCATCATATAACAAAGAAAACAAGTTCATGACAGACATCAAGAAATTTATGAACCAAAAGATTCGCGTCAAGTTCGATGGCGGAAGAGAAGGTTAGCACCCAATGGGGTGGAAAAAAATACACACCCCGGTGCATACATACGTATGTGCTGGTGTCCATAAAACAGAGAAACCGCTCCACTTCATACCTACACTGACACATATATAATTGTTTGAGGCAGTCACGGCGACTCATCTCATAATTCTCCCGCTTTTCTGTTCCACGCAGTTGTTGGCAATTTAATTGGCCACGATGCCATCTTCAACTTAGTGCTGGACAAAACTGAGGAATATATAAGGGGTAGAACGGGATAAATAGTTTCCAAAAAAAAAAAAAGAAAAAAAAAAAAAAAGCAAAGAAAAGAAAAGTAAAATAAAGAAAAATAAAGCAAAACAAAGCAAAAACATAGCATGGCAAATGCGCCTACACATGGCTCACTTCTCTACCTTTTTCAGACCCGAATGACAGCTTCGTCATAACGGAGAAAACGAGGAGCATCGGTTTAGTCGTCGCCAGGGGGACATCGGTACTGTCGTTTTTCTGGCCCGTGTGTTCGTGCTGAGAGGAGTTTCCCACGCGGTGTAAATTTGACTTCCCCGTCAGACTGTCTCCTTTTATTGTGTCTCATTCCATTGCGTCAAGTTTCCCACTTTTCCTCTTCACTTTGCGCCCCCCTTTTTTGGCAGATCGCGCTAATAACGCCAGTAGACGGCACGCAAGAAATCGCCAACCCATTCATAACGGAAGAGAAGTGAAGCCCAATTGTGCATAGGACCGCAACCCTCCTGGAGAACCCCAAGCCTTTTAACCCCGCACATCACGTAGCTTTTTTAATTTTTTTGCACTTGCTTATGTAAACCTCAAAAACGAAAAGTCCCCCCGAGTGTGGTGGTACCATTTTGAATAGAATTTTTTTTAAAAGTAGGAAAATGCGCGCCATGTGTGCACGAAAGAGAATTGTGTGATTAACCTCCGTGCCACGGAGGTAAAAAGAAAAAAAAAAAAAAAAACACATCTTCATCCCTTTGACACGAACAAAAGGGGTGTCAGTGGTACAGAGATGAGAAAATATTGGAATACGAAATCTGCATCGGCATCGCGTAGACATAAGTGGGTATGCAAGCATCATATACTGATACGCACGCATGGAGAGACAGATATATGGTTGTCATCAGTGCAGGGAACTAGTTAAAATGAGGAGAAAGGAAAAAAAAAAAAAAAAATAAAGAAATAAATGAATAAAAGTATAAAAAAATACAAATATCACTGGCGAAAACGCGGGCAACTTATCTTGGGGCACCCTTCTATCAGACACAAACGTACACGGATAAAACGTGGGCACTTGTGCAGGGCGGTATCAATCACAGCCGCGATGTTCCTGTGCGGGGATAACACAAGACAGGAATTTTAAAGCGTGCTGCTTCTCATTTAATTATGCAAGAAAAGGCTTGACATGAGTGAAAAGGTTTATATGTCATATGGGGGGCACCCTTTGTCATGGTGGGTAGGGTACTGTACAGTGTGTTGAAGAGGGGAAGGGAGAGAGCCTGCTGCTCTTTTCATTTTAAAGCAAGAAATGGGTCGCTCTTGGGGGGGATCCCAAAATACGCTGCCCTGGAGTTACGCGGTTTCATCCACAGCTCCTTCATCTCTTCCTCGCCGCGTCCTTATCTCTTCCTCACCACTTGCGCACCTCCCTCACGGGTGTATATTAATGTTGTGGCGGCGAAAGGAGCTCCTGTAGCCAAAGGACATGTTGCACTTGGAGCAGAAAAAGCGCTTCACCCGATGATGGAAATTTATTATGTGCTCCTTCAAGCTGAATTCAGAAGAAAATTCCCTGCCACAGTTGTTCATGGTACATTTGTAGTTCTGAATGATATTCAAATGGACTCTCCGTACATGCTTGTTGTAACCATTGACATGTAAATATATTTTGTTGCACTGCAGGCAGACGTACTTCTTCTTGAAGCAGGTCTTCTTGTGTTGTATGAACTCTTTATAAATGAGAAATTTGTGGGCACACACGGGACATGAATAGAAGAGGTTACATCTGTGCTTATTCAAATGATACTTCATTTTGGCGATGGTAGAATAGGAGTAGGAGCAATTTTCATATGGACATTTGTAGTGCCTTACCTTGTGCGCTCTTAATTCTTTGGGAGTGTCAAAGGTAGACTGACAAATGGAACAAGTGTATTTTATTTTGTCTTTATTATCTTTATGGGATAAGATATGATTCTTCAAATGATCCGAGCGCTTGTACGTTTTTATGCAAAGGTGACATTTGTATGGTCTTGATTCTGAATGCACACTCATCAGGTGTCTTTTCATTAATTTTTTATTTGCAAAAACCATACTGCACACGTGGCACGTTCGAATTTCGACAGAAATGCTACCTGGGGTGGAGTTCTCCCTCTTCACTTCCCACGGTTGTTCCGCGTTCGCCTGCTGCTCGTGAGCTTCAATTTGTCGCCTGTCCTTTTCGACTTGACGCTTGTCCATTTCTTCCCGCTCCGCGCAGAGCTCAGTACCCGCCTGTTCCGGGGCAGTATCGCCTCTCCATGTGCCGCTCTCGCTAACAACAGTGTGGCTCTCCCTCTGTTCATGCTCTTCACCGCTTTGGATTGTCTCACCACTCGCGTCGTTTTCCCCTCCGTGCGAATGGCCCTCCCCATGATTACCTACCTCGTCTACCGCGCCTTCCAGCTGATGATCATGGAAATCCTCATCTGACGCAGATGCACCTACCGCTGACACACCACGCCTTCGCCTACTCATCGCCCTCTCCGCGACATCCTTACGCATGGAGCACTTCATATGCTTCAACGTGCAATTTTTTAACTGTCTGGACGTTTGGAAAAACATTTGACAGATGGAACACTGGAACTTCTTGGGCTGTTTATTTAGGTTGTGATTTAGCCGATGCAATTTCAAGTGGTCCGCTCTTTTATACCGCTTGAGACAAATTTCGCACTCGAATGGCCTTTCTTCAGAGTGGACGCTCATCATATGTCTTTTCATTAATTTTCTGTTTTTAAAAACGGTCTTGCATACGTTGCATGTCCTTGTTTCATTTTCTGTTAGGTTGGCTGGGTCGAGTGGTTCTTTCTTCACAGTGATTACTTTTCTCTCGGTAACTTTGTTGGTCCCCATCAGCCTCTCGGATCGTCTCATCCTGCGGGTCAGGTACCTGCAACCAGTGTCCTCACCAACCTTCCTATTGCCACCATCCCTGTTTTCATATGTTTGCAAATTTTCATTGCCCTCACCTGATTTTCCTTCACCGGGCATATGCTCATCATTGACGTCATCGCCTTCCCCCACGACATCTTTCAACTGAGCGGTGCTAATCATTTGGGCACCGTCCTCTTGTAGTTGTTCCGTCGAGTAAAGCGGCTCATCTGTGGGTCCTTCATTGGGATCATTCGATTCGCTCTCTTCCTTCTGCTCACCCTCGTCACTTTCGCTTGTCTCTCCATTCTTCTCGCTGTCGTCGTCACTATCACTTTTCCTGTCTTGACTCTCCCATTCACTGTCCGAGTTGCCTTCCCCTTCATTAGTGTTACCTCTCTTGGAAGAAAAAAAGAAAAATCTCGAAAATCTGCTCGACATATTTTCATAAAACATGTTTCTCCTTTTACTTTGCACGTTGGTACGTGTTTGGGAGCTGCTGTTTTCTCTAGCCCTGCCTCTCGTTTTGCTGCTAGCCATTTGGACAACTGTTTTGGGACACTGACTGGCGTCTCCGCTCTGAGACACATTCAGTGGTGTACTTTGCGTCAAGACTGGCGACGCCTCATGTTGCTCCCCCTCCTTAGGCTGTTGCCTTTCGGTAGGCTCCTCTCCCTCCTTAGGTTGCTCCCCATCGTTAGGTTGCTTCCCATCGTTAGGTTGCTCCCCATCGTTAGGTTGCTCCCCATCGTTAGGTTGCTCCCCATCGTTAGGTTGCTCCCCCTCGATCTCCTTATTCATCTGCGGGATTTCCCTGGGCTCCGTCTTTATGGGCATCCCGCTCACCTCCATCTCCATCTTTATGTTAATTGTTCCAAAATTTTCCTTCTGCTTATTCGTTTTTCTCGCGTTAGTGTCTGCTGATATTCCCGCTTCCCTAATGCCATCCTCGCAGTTTTCCCGTTTGACTCTAACCATTATTGCTGGTGAATTAACTTCACTGTTCTCTTCTGGCACTTCCACTTTTATTGGACAGTTTTTGCGAACTTCTTTTTCCTTCCTTTCTCTTGGCCCAGCTTCATTTATTTCTTGGTTGACGGCACCTACAGGTTTCTTAATCGTACCTAGGCGCTTGGTAATTGTATCTTTGTGTTTGGAAAATGGACCCGTGGGTCTGATAACAGAACCCGTCGTATTGGAAACTAAACGTAGTGATGCGCTCTCCCTGTGTTTGGTCCCCATCGGATTGTCCTCCTCCACCTCCTGCTCCTCCTGACGTACGACGGGGAAACGCCTTTTCTCCATCGCAGCGCCATTGCACTCTTCTAAATTTTCCTTCTCCATCTGACTTCCGCTTATCGGTGCATGATCCAAATCATCGAAGGATTTCAGAACATTCCTATTTTCACTGTCGCTGTCATGTGTTTCTTTATCTTCCCCCAATCCTTTCTCTTTTTCTTCATTCACATTTATTTTTTCTTCTGGTACTGATATGTTACCTTTCTTGTAAGGCGTCTTATTCGGTTTCTTCCCTTTGGCTGGAATGTGCTTATTGACTAGTCCCTCCGCTTCGTCTTCGTTACCTTTGAACGTACTTACGAGATTCCTCTTATCGACGGTTTGGTAAGGCGTAAAAAATTGTATTCCCTTTTCCAGTTCTGTTACATATCGTTGTCCATCCGTAGGTTGGGCCTCTCCCCCGCTATGGCCATCGTCATTGTTGCTGTTTTGTTGCTGGCCCAATCTACCACCATGGAATGAATGGTCATTCTGCTCGTCATTGCATGTGTAATTATAATCACCGTCTAATTTTTTACTTAGTGCCTCCTGATTTTTACTATCACTGCACTTATTCCCCTCTTTGGCCTTTTCATGTGCGCCATTAAGCATGTCAAGAACTCCCTTAAAATCGTTGGCGTCATGAGTCGGGAAAATCTTCGGTGTGTTGTTAAAATATTCTTCCCCTTCTACTTCATCTTTCTTTTCCCATTTCGTTTCTACTTCCAGTTCCTCTTCCTCTTCTTCCTCCAAGGTTCCCTCCTCTTCCAGGGCACAGTTCAACCCCATGTCATCTGGGCACAGTAACATGTTCCCCTGGAGCATACTTGTATAGACATTTCCATCCAACTCGTTCGCATACCCTTCTGCTTGATCTTTTTTTTTTTTCTTTTCATTCTGTATAAAATTTTTATAGCTCTTTTTCATGTTCCTCGTTAGGATCAAGGAAGTTTCGACATTTTCGAAGTAGGTGCCGTAGATTTTATCAATTTGGTATTTCCCCTCCACTTGGCTACTCTCGCTTTTGTCGGCGTTCGAGAAATCCTCGTCCCACTCTGCGCTGCGGTTCCCATCTTTGGTCACTTGGATGTTGGCCAAAACGTCTTCCTCATCATCATCATGATCCTCTTCCTGCTGCATCTGCTGCTTGGGGATCTTTCCCTTGGTCACCCCACCGGCGATGCCGCCTTTACTCAGGTAGACATTTAGGTAATTCTCGAAAAAGTCAAAATCGTATTTGTTTTTAAAGTGGTCTTTACTTTGTTCTCCGTGCGACGCT